ACAAAAACAGCAGAAATGTCCTTAGGAGCATTTTATCACAAATTTATAGTATTTTTTTTCAAAATTTTGGATCCTCCTAAGACAATTTTTTTTTTGGAGTGTTTTGGGGGATATAAATAACATATATTAGCAATATATTAGTTTCAGGCCTGCAACATAACAACTCGATATTTGTATATATTGCAAAGTGATCCCCACAATAAGTCTAGTCAACATCCATCAACTCACATAGTTTGAAAAAAATGTTTTTCTTGTAAAGAGAACTGTTAAGATCTACTCACTTAGCAACTTTAAAAGATGTGACACAGTGTTATTAACTACAGTCACCGCGCTGTCCCTTACATCTACAGGACTGACTTATTTTATAACCAGAAGTTTGTACCTTTTGTCCCCCTCCGCCATCAATCTGTTCTAAGATAGTAGACCTTACATGTTCTTCACACACACACACACACACACACACACACGATGGAGGGCTTAGCGAATGCTGCAGTGGGGATCACTTTGCGATACATAAGTGCATCAAATCAATACTTTGTACATCTTAAAGTTACACGATGTTACACGTCAATTATATCTCAAAAACTGGGTAAAACAAAGTAAGAAAGGATGGGGGATAAAAAGGCAGAAGAAAGGTAAAGAGCTCCATATGAAGAAAATTAGGGCATTAGATTAACCTAACAGTCACTGCTTAGTTTTGCAAATACTACTGGTCCTTGCTAAAGAAGAATCCCACAGACTGCATTGGCAATAGAGTATATGTAAAAATATTTTTTAAGTTTCTGCTTTCTGATTTAGGCTCTAAACTTTCTAGCTCAGTTACAGCAAATGATATCCTGCCTGGGGCTTTGAAACTGCAAGTATCAGTTCAAGCAACAACAACAACAAAATTCTGGATGGATAAGAAGCATGTTCCCCCCCCCCAAAAAAAAGAAAAACCCCAGTAAACCTATTTAGAAGAAACGTTATAAAGCTAGAACTTGGAAATCATTTCATGGAAAAAATCCTGCTCTTATTTAGTAATCATGACACTCTTTTTGAAGGTTCCGTTAAGACAACAACTTGGGGACACCTGCTTAATCTCAGTTTTGTGGAACAGCTGACAACGGTTAAAGGCCTTAGACTAGTGACTCATCTTGGCTGACAGGATCCGAGCCAATGCCCCATTTTAGAAGACGGATAACGTTCATCTCACTATATCAGTCACAAGAGTCTTAGAACTATCTCCTCTATTCTCTTGATGCATTAAAGTAAGCACACCGATGACTCTAGCATATTCTTTATCTTAAGTGCCATGTATGTGAGATGCACCAAACGTAAGATAAAGGCGGTTCTAGAACATGCAGGCAGAACCTAGCTCTGGTGCTGAAAGCTCTGGCTGTAACAAGTCGGATGCAGATGGAAGCTGACCTGATAACTTAACTGGGATGGGGCAGAAGCCATGCCAGCTGAGCGAGAAAGCCTTGTGCTCAGCGGCCTGCAGAGGCCGCCGGCCTCCGACCCAGGACATGCGCCCGGGGCTATAGGCTGAACACCGGAGAGGACGCTGTCCCTCTCTCTTTCCCTAAAGGCCTGTTCTTCCTCATAAAGGACTGACAACACCAGACATGGGAGAGGGATCTGGATGCAGGAAGCAGCTTGGAAATTCTCCTCTAGTCAAGGCTAGGTTTTCATTAATTTCAGAGTTTTTCCTGCCCCCCCGCCCCAACACACACAAAATTGTCACTAGGTCAAAGGAAGAATAAGAATTGCATGCCTTGAGAATGCAACTACTTTGTCTTTTAAAGCACTTATTATTCAAAGTACCCTATGTCTTGAACTTTGTCATGACTCACAGCATGAAATATATTTTACGTCAGAACCCGGGACACACAACGTACATACAAGTTAAAATAAAAGTTCCATCGAAGTTACCCTCACTATACGCAACGGATGCTGTGTCTGTTTCGTCTTTTTTTAACGCTGGCTCCACACCGCAGCTGATTTCACGAAGGAGCGATGGCTTACGGTCTGCACCGCTGCCGCAGGACAGCCCACGGCCGGCCCCGCCCACCTCTCCGTCACAGCTCACGCTCCTCTCTGCCGGGCGTCCCCCCTGCCGCCAGCACCCCACTTCCATCCATTTTCACACCAACTCATAGGCCAGTTCCAGAAATGGGAGTCCCAGGGCCTTCGGTCTTGTCAGTGCTGCCTGGAGCCTTCCCCAGGTCCTTGCGCCTCCCCGTACAGACCTCAAGGCAAGAGTCACTTCCTCGAGGGGCCTTCGCTGACCAGCAGTTTGAAGGAGGCACACACACAGCTCCAGCCGAGACAGAGGGCGGGGGGCAGTTCACTGCTCCTTGGGATTGTGGGACGTCTGACTGAGAAAATGTAAGGCAGGCACAAACAAAACGAAACAAAACAAACAGCACTCTGCAAATGTCACTTTCTACCTCCCTATGCCATTGCACAGGTCTTTGAATTCTGCCATTAAAACTTGATTCCACTTGTTTCGGGGTGGCTTTTCTGACTCTAAGAAGTGAGAGCCACCCTCCAATATCCCCCACGTACTTCGTACCTTCTCAGAGCACTTACATTCTTATTATTTTTATTCATTCAGCAAATATCTGAGTGCCTAGTATGGTCCAAGCATATTAGCAGTAAACAAAACGAAGTCCATTCCTCTAACAGTTCGCAGTTTAGCGAGACTGACAAATCTAGACACAAACAAGTTCATGTGACAAGTACACCAAAGATGTACACAATGTAAGGTGGTAACAAAAAAGAATGAAGTGTCAACTTTCTCCAAGTAGACAAGTAAGGCGCCGCAGGAGAAGATATGCCTCACCGGGGTCTGGGAGGAACGACAGAAACCCGGCGGGCAAACAGGGGGTGCGGGTATCCTGGGTTCAGGGTCACACGTGCAAAGGGGAACGAAGCAAGCTCACTGCCAGTTGGAAGTGACTCGGTACATTCAATGAAAAGGCAAGTAGCTAAAAGGCCAGGGGCCAAGGGGAACGTCTAGAGAAGGAAGAGGCAGGAGAGGAGGCTGGCAGATAAGCGCTGGGTCGCGGAGGGCCTGCGCGCCAGTCCAGAGACTTTGAATTTTATGCTAAAGGAAGTGGGGAGCCTGGAGTGTTACAGAGGTAACATCAACAGATTTCAATTCTAGAAAATTCCTTCTCATGGCGGAGAAAATAATGGATTGGGGAACTGTCAGACTGTTAAAGGCACCATTAAAATAGTCCAGGCAAGAAAAGAGGAGACCTTAAACGAAACAGGATTGACTGACCAACTGGATACGGGAGACAGAAGAGAGAAAGGGATGCAAATAACTCTGGTTTCTGGTTTAGCCTATTATACAGTGGTGTCATTCATTGACTTGGGGACCTAAGAGAAACCAGGTGGAAAGAGAACAAGTTCCATCTGGGTCCCATCGAGTGTGAGGGGCCTTTGTGATAACCAGGTAGAGACGTCCAGGAAACAGCTAGGCTAGGGGTTAGCAGGGCTCGGATGGGACCTGAAATTGAGGAAGAAAGTTTAGGCACTAGGAGAACTGTGTGTAGGTGGCATTTAGAAAGCAGGCAAAGCCAGCGGGGGTGGGGAGTGGTGTGGAAGTGCAATAGATGCCCTTGAGTTTCCGTTGTTACAGAGAGCCTAAATAAATTCTGAGAATTACTCGATTAAGCACTTAAAAAGCCATTAGAAACTTAAGCAAGAGGAACTTTACTGAAGCCATTAGAAAAGTCAGACAACAGAATGTTGAGAGTGAAAGTGAAGAGGCAGAAGTTGAAGCCAATAAAAACACTGTGCTTTCTAGCAGTTTACTAGTAGGCAGATGGAAGAATTGCGGAGAAATACGAGGCAGAGAATGTGTTTTTGTTTTATTTCATTTTCTTGAGATGTATGGTTTTAACAGTGAGGAGAAGGAAGTGGAGAGAAAAAGCCTAAAATCACACAAAAAGAGAAAAGCAAAAAGTATGGTCTTGAATGTCAAGGAATGAGATCTAAGGAAAAGATGGATGTGTTTTCCTTCAGCATCTCTTCCTCTAAATTAGAAACACAAGACTTCACAGTGGATAAAAATGTAGAACAATGTGTAGGTTGGGGCCATGAGGTTGAAGAAATTGACTGTTAGACTGCCGTCTGCTTAGGATGGAGGAAGAAGGCGGCGCAGGGTTTGCAAAGTGAAGGTCTGAACGGGGCTCTGGGGGAACAGGGCAGGGCAGACTAGGGTAACGAAAACGGAGAGAGAGGGGGCGCTGAGTGGGGCTCGGGTACTAAATTCACAGCTATACCCACCTGACAGCAGTCAGCTGTCTGTCCTCCAGCCTGTCATTCACAATTGTTGAAAATTTTGGTAATCATGTGAATTAAATACAACCCTGGTGTTCTCAAGCAGGAGAGCAAATTGAAATCACCTGTGGGCTTTAAAAAATGCAAATCTCCAACCCTACTCCAATTAACTCAGAATTTCTAGGGCCGTAGCTCAAGCAAGTGAATTTTCCAGAAACTCTCCAAGTTACCTAGACCGGGCATTCCTGTTTAAAACAAAAAACAAACAAAAAAACCCCAAAAAAGCACGGATCCAGAAGGAATCAACTGGCTCCTCCTAAGTAGCCCTTAGACGGGGTGCGGGACAGGGCTCCGCCACCTGGGGGAGCAAAGACTAAGGTCCGGGGAGACCCGGAGCAGGGTTGACACAGTCACGTACCCGCCGTTACACACTCTTAAATGAAGCGCGCTAAGTCAAGCCGAGCTTGAAAAATGCAACGATGAAAATGCAAACATTTACAAAGTTTACTCGGAAAGATGTTTCACCCCCGGCTGTTAAGACTCCGTGTCTTACCCCAAAACTTTCCGTTACATTACTCTGGAGGCGCAGCTGTACTAAAGAGACAATGGGGCGAAGGTGCAAGGGCCGGGGACGCCTCGAGCACCCATTAGCCCCAGCCCCAGGACTGGAGACGCTGCGTCACCAGGACCGCGGAGCCGTTCTTCTGGCTTCGCCTGGCACTCACCATAGTCTCAGGTGCTCTGCCCACGGAAATAGGTCTCACGCCGACCGGAGGACCGACAACGACACCGACGCCCAGTTACTCAGGCAACAGAGCCCCGCCTACTGCTGGACGCTGCGCGGAAGTCACTGCCCCGTTCCCTTTTCCCTATTGGCTGGAAGTAATCAAAGCTCCGCCCACTAGGTCGACAGGCACGCCCTTTGACGCCGTGGCTTGGTGGTACGGAACACTGTCTACCTCTTTCCAGCGTCATCACTTCCGTTTGGTTAATAGGTGACCCGGAAGTTCCAGCCACTCTCCGGCTTGGGTCCGAATATTCTATAATTTATTTTTAAATAGGCATCTGTCCAGTTTTCAGTCACTGAAGCCTTACACCGTATGGTCTGTGTTACTTGAATTTAAACGCACTAAGAATGCGTTTACCTATTTCGTTTGGAAACGTCTTCCGGAAACGAAACCCTGAGTAATCAATCGGAAGTGACTAGTGGGGAGCGAGAAGTTGATGTCACGAAGACCTGGGCGGGTCGGCTCGGGATGGAAGGGGACTGTGCGGAGAAGTTAGCCCGGTGATTTTGGGCCGGACAACCGGCACTGGGCCGCCCCCTGGACCAGGAAGAGTGAGACTCTTAGAGGTACGTCCAAGAACGGGCTGGTGGAACCAAGGGCATGCTGATGGTGACGGAGGTCTAGGCAGGAGTTCGGTGTTCAAGCCTTTGGATCGAAGGCATGTTCCGACAGGGTTGGGGCTTCGGACACGACAACTCGGGACGACAGAAGCTGACAGGCGTGTCGCTTCCTCACCTGCTGCCTGTTACCCATTCACTCCACACCCATCCCGCCCCTTTCACCCCTTATTTGCCGGGAGACACCTGCGGTATTTGTCCATTTTGCTCTGCATCTCCCCAGCGCGGTTTCAGGACTCACCGCTCAATCGAAGAGACCTTGGAGACCCGCTTTAAGAGCAATATAAATGGCCTAGGGACATGAACAACTGTATTGGGATTGACTGTGGGGGGGCGGGGCAGGCGAGAGCAGCGAGGGAAAATTGGGACAACTGTAATAGACCAACAATATAAAAATAAAAATAATTTTTTTAATTTTAAAAAAGGAGGATTTGTGACTGCTGAGAAGCTGAGTTACGGCGAGTACTCAGGGAGATCATTTCTGTGGTGAAACCAGCTGTCATCTAGTATACAGTTCATCACTTATTAATACGGCATTAGTATCACCTTTCTTCTCATATTTTCCAGTGAATCTTAGTCTGTACTGTAAGGCCACGCATACCTTTCTGGAAGCATGTGCTATGCCATTTTAATTTTATTGCCAGGAAAGTGCAAACTGAGTTATCATGAATGTTTGTATTTTTTGTTAGACCTCTAAACAGAAGCTCCTCTATCATATACAGAGCGAACAACTTAGTGTCAATAATGTCTCCTGAGGAAATAATTGTTCTAACTACTTTAAAATTCCTGTTGTTATATTAATACTGCAGAAGCCACACAGTAGCTTAAGTGCTATTTCTGAACTAAAATTCAAGACACACATCCAATAATTTAGTGTATACTGTTGAGGACAGGGAAACAGAAATACCACCCCTAATTTTGTTGAGACATTTGGTAGGTTTAACAATATTGCCCATTAAAGGATATGTAACATTGTCTTTCTAAATGCATGTTACTAAATACTGGAGCAAGGTGACTATTGTATTTAAATTGCAGGGACTTAGTGAATGTGTTCATACAGTATTGTTTTAATTCTTTCATTTTATACGTTTTTAGGTTTTTCGGTAGAAGTTTCCGGGTGCATTTTCATTGGTTAAAAAGATGACTACTCTTGAGAGTTTAGAAACTAAAGGTAAGTCTTTCTCTTTTGGCAATAATTGTTTTTAAAACATGACATTTATGACGATGGGACAGAGGAACATTTGAGCCAGGTAAGTAAATCTCACAGAGCCCTCGGGACTCAGCTGTGTTTCGGATCTCTTCATGTTTGTTTTGTAATTCAGTGTTTACATTTCAGATAGACTGTTGAATATTAACACCATTCAATGGTATTTATTAGGTGACAACAACTGTTAAACATTTAGTGCAAAGCAAAGTTTTACAGCCATGTCCTCTATCCACTACGAGATTAAACAAGAAGATGGGCAAACAGTGACTAGGTAGAAAAGATCTCTTTCTTGTTGCATTGGTTTGCTGGGGATTATAGCAAAGTACCACAAACTGGTGGGATAAACTACAGAAACTTATTGTCTCACAGCTCCGGTGGCTAGAAGTTCAAGACCAAGGTGTTGGCAGGGCCATGCTCCCTTTAAGGCCACTAGGGAAGGATCTGTTCCAAGCCTCTCCCCTGGTTGCTGCGGTTTGCTGGCTATTTTTGGTATTGCTTGGCCTGGTCACCCAGATCTCTTACTTTACGTTCCTATGGCATTCTCCCTGCGTGTGTTTCTCTGTCCAAATTTTTCCATTTTATAAGAACATCAGTCACATTGGATTAAGGGTCCACCCTACTCCTGTATGATCTCATCTTAATTACATCCTCAATGACCCTGTTTCCAAATAAGGTCACATTCCAAGGTATGGAGAGTCAGGACTTGCACCTGTGAATATTTGGGGAGACAGGATTCCAGTCATAACACTTGCTAGCTGCAGTGGTGACGTTTCATTCCTGCCTTGCCTGTTCTCTCCGTGACTTTGCGCCCGGTTCGTCAGGCCCACACAAAGTACGTTCGGCCCTTGGCTTCCGTGGCATCGCTTATTTCCAGCCTTCCCTGGAGCCCTTCACTGTCCAATGCTCTTAACAACTGTGGCTATTTGAGTTTAAATTAATATTTTCAAAAGTTAAAAATTTCGTTTCTCAGTCACACAGCCACATTACAGGTTCTCAGTAGTCACATGTGGCTGGTGGCTATTGTATCAGAAAGAGCAGATACAGGATATTTCCATCATGGCAGCACGTTCTGTGGGACATCGCTGCTCTAGCACTGTTTTCTCTGTTTCTGTTTTGTCCTCCTCTGCTGGTTTGTCTTTTAAATGTTGTTTTCTCAGGGGCTTTCTCTTCTATTCTATTCTGTAATTACCTGTAAGAATGACTTCCAAATACATTTTTGCTCTGATCTCTTCCCTTGTGATGCAGACCCTTCGAGCACGCTGCCTACATTTTCACTTACATGTCAGTAACAGTCTTAGCATGTCCAAGGTGAACTCCTTCTGACTCGGGTTATCTCGGGTGGAGTGGGTTCTGGAGGTACAGGCACTCAGTGTCAAATGGGAAACTTTTCTGGAAGCCAGCTTTGTAGCAAGCTGACCTCTGACAGCACACTCTTTAAAGGGAGTCTGAATATGTCGAGGAAGCAAGGAAGAGAAGATCATTCCAATAAATATTTAGTTGAATTTAATTCAGTTGCATGCAACAGTATTTCAGAGTCACAAGAAGACATTTTTATTATTAGGATAAGCAAGTCAGAGACTACAATGAAAGTAATAAACCCGGGATTAATGGGAAATAAGATCAATTAAATGGTAACTAATGTGAGAGTAATTAGCATGGTACTTGGTAAAAAACAGAAACTAAATACAATGTTATCATTAGTGACTAAAAGTTAATTATTGTAAGACCTCTGTGAAATTATTTTCATTGTTATTACTTGTTTGTAATAAGAATTAGATTTTTAAAGCCCTTTCACATACATTGTCTCATTTGATTATAATTTTACAGGAAGCTAGATAATTCAGTATTTGTCCTATTCCTACTCAATACATGTTGACTGGTGTTAATGAACAAAAGGTACGTGTATTGCATAGCCTGAGAAAAAGTGCACCCGTTCTGGTTGACATTTGTCAGCTGTCTGCACTTCCTCTAATGCCTCAGAAGGGAAGCAAGGTTGGTTCGTGGTGACAGCTCTCGGGGGAGGCTGGAGCAACGCTGTCGTGCGAGGGACGCGTCCTTGCTGCCGGGGCTGTCTGTGGAAAGGGAAGCATGTGATCCACAGGAGCAATTTGAAGATTAGAATTGGAATCCAAAACTTCTCATGGGAGCAAGATTAAAATTTAAACTAAAAGTATTAAAGCCAGACAGTTTAGTGGAAGTCAACCAAATAGGAAAGTCTGAGGCATTTAAATACTTGTAATTCCACAAGATGGTCTAACTTGAACACTAGTTCTATGGAATAATAGATATTAGGTGAAGAAGTATTCCCTGGGCAGATAAATTTGGGAAATGCTGGATTAAAGGAAAGGTTATGAAGGACCCCTCAGAGCCTTTGATGTACGGCGCGCCTTGTGAAGCTCCGCGGAGATGCAGCACGCAGCGTCGCCCACGGGCATCTGATGGGGCTCCGTTCTGGGAGCCTGTGACAGGGGAATGTTTGGATCCTGCACCAATAAATGCGGGCCTAACTCTCAAACCTAACACTTGTAACATATTTTTCTAATTTAATAGTAACCAACTAAACTTTATTAGGTGGTATTGGTGACTTTGAAAAGAACAGTGCTTTAAAATTACCAAGTGATGATCCCTAATTTGTTTAACTGTTTTATAGCTGCATCTTCCTATGTTCTGCATATGCCTGACCATAACTGAGTTATGAACTAATGATTTAGTGCAGAGGAAGAATTAAGCAGTTTTTAAATGAGTTAGTTATTGGATGTTAAAATGAAATCTTCTGGAGAGTGTATTCACATCAGTGAACTTCAGGAAGCATTCATTCACCTTTTCTGTGTCTGCACAAGTGATTTGAAGACACCTTGTGTTTGCATCACTCTGAACAGACAGAGGGGAAAGGTGGTCAAGGGTGAAGGATTTGCTCAAGGTCACACTGTGTGTGGCAGTAGGGACCTGAGTTATCCTGACTCAGAGTCCAGTGTTCTTTCTACTACACCATCATGCTGACTTAGGGTATCTGTCTTTGTAGATTGACACTTTTGTGAAAAAAGAAGTATTTAATTACAAACTACAAAATCATATTCTTTTTGCCTCAGTATTCTAGAGCAGGGGCTGGCAGATCGGGGCCCTCAGGCCTCCTGAGAACATTTGCAATCAGTTTGGTAGCAGGGAGCACTAACTTTGAAACCTACTTAAGCCAAGTGTTAGCTCAAAAAAAAAAAAAAAGAAAAGAAAAAGAAAAAGGAATTTCATTCCTCTCATTATTAGACCTATATTACAAAAACAAAACTCACTTTACTCAATTATTAGTTTGAATTTCATCTTTAAAATTTTGGGGTTTTATTTCTTCTTATATAAATACCTACATAATATGCTCAATTTTGTCTCACAGTCCATGTAACCTACAGAAAAAGTCTGCCAACCCCTATTGCATAATATTATTTGTTCTTTCCCTGCATTTCACCACCTTTGGGGAAGGTGCTAAGAATGAGCCAGACACCTTACATAGGTTTTAATCTTTGAGAAACGATCACAGATAGGAGTGATGTTGGTGAATAACTGAAGAATCATTTTGCTGGTTCCCGTCAAAGAGCAGAGAAGAACGGGTTGATGTTACGCATTATGTAAGCACCCCTCACAGTTCCAGAGCTGGGGCCACACCTGGCGGCCCTCTGGCCTGAGGGAAAGGGCTGGCTCGCAAGTGTGTCCTGAATTGTGCCAAACGCACGTGTAATAACGGTGCCCGCATGGGCCTTAGGGACAATAGAACTGTGGAAGTTTAGCTGTCAGGTGAGGAAGCATAGAGCCCTGACCCCCACGTACCTGTTTGCACATGCCTGTGAGCTAGAACCCCAGTTGTCACAGCGAGGGGGCCGCCAGGTGACACACAGCACAACCTAGGCGCTCCTGGGTGCGTGAGAAAGTGGAACGGTGTGCGTGCAGCTAACTGTAAACTGCGGTTGAACTGAGTTGATTGAATTTCTTGATTGGAGCTTTAACATATTTTGTTTGAAATGAGATTTCTGGTAAACACCCCATTTGTGTTTCTTTGCCTTTTAAATTTAGTGTTAGCCATTTTGTGATTTGTTCTTGAATCTCCATTACTAAAATTCCAACTCAAAATGCCAGGGCTCGCCTAGACATCCCATTCAGCCGTGACAGAGTGTTTCTTATTTCTTCAGCTCCCGTGGGCCTGAGTGGTAGAGCCCTAGTTTGTCTTTTAAAAAAAATCTGTAGTTAATTTATCAGTCTACATTGCTGCTTAAGTGCCACGCTGTCTGAGAGGTGGCTGAACCTGTGACAGACAGAGCTCAGGAGGAAGGGCTGGGCTGAGATGTGCAGGGTGAGCGGGCACCGCAGGGGGAGGGTGGGAGGGGGTGCCCGGAGCAGGGACAGCGGCCAAGGAAGGGTTCCATGCTGGCCGGGTCTGCACGCGGTTTAAAGCTCACTCAGACTTCCGCAAGTCCTGCAGGCCCCCGTTGTCGGCAGAGATGGAGTTCAGGCTGCGAAGGCAGCCGTTCTGGTCCGTGGAGGCCTCCTGGGCTGATCAGCAGCTTCCTCTGAGGCCGGCTTTGGATTCGAGTCCCAGTCTGGCCCAGGTGATTTGGACAAGCTGCTGAATCTTTCGAAGCCGCTGTTTCTGTGTACAGAATAGGCATATGGTGCTTACCTCATGAGACAGGCATAAAAACTAGTTGATGTAATGCCTCCGAAGGACTTAGAAGAGTCCTTGGCACATCGTGAATTGAACAGAAGTTCGTTACTGCTGCTGCCCATGGGCCCTGGCTTCCATTCCTCGGAGGTATGCTGGGCTTGCCGAACGGCAGGGGCTCCTGCCGGTAGCTCCAGGGCGGCACTGCAGGCACCGGCTCAGGCCCGGCAGGCTCTCTGTCCTCTCGCCTGCCTGCCCCAGCTTCCTCTGCACCACTTCTGCTCCACAGATCCTCCGTTCTCTCTCAGCTCTACACCGCTGGTTGCCTTGAGTCAACCAGGGAAGTTAACCCCTTCTTGGAGAAACTTTTTTTGTACTACTCAGTTGGAGGTAAGACAAGGTGGGGGTGGCGGAGAAACAAATATTTTTGTTATTTGACTGGAGCAATGGCAGAGGACCGGGAGCGCAGCTGCCTTCCACAGATTGTCTAAAACTAGAGATAGATAGCCAGGTTTGGCTCATGTGAGGGAAGATAATGTATTTCAGTTGAGGAAATGAGTTTGGTAAACATGTAGCAATGTACTAAGCCTTAGAGAGGGAAAGGGAGGAGAGCTACCATTTATTGGATGCGAGCCATTTACTTGTGTGCCAGACACTTTATACCTGAACTTGAACTTCGGGGCATTTGTAGAAGCAGTTTGTGCAGTGAATGAGGCCCCAGTCTTTGTGGACAGAGCCTCCTAGACTTACCGGCTGTGTGGTGTGACCATGTGTGAGTTCCTGGGCTTCTTTATGCCTCATTTTCCTCGTATATACAAAATAGGGCTAATCAGCCCTGGCTGGTGTGGCTCAGTGGACTGAGTGCTGGGCTGCGAACCGAAGGGTCGCCGGTTCTATTCCCAGTCAGGGCACAGGCCTGGGTTGTTGGCCCAGTCCCCAGTTATGGGCATGAGAGGCAACTACACATTGATGTTTCTCTCCCTCTTTCCCTCCCTTCCCCTCTCTCTAAAAATAAATAAAATCTTTTTTTTAAAAAACCCACAAAATTCTAGCTAGACTAAATAAAAGCGATAAAATCATTGAAAAAAAATTTTTTTAATAAAATACAGCTAATCATACCTACCTCATAGGGTTATTGTAAGGATTAAATTAGTTATATGCAAAGTATTTAGAATAGTATTTGGCACAAAGTAAGTCTTTTCTAAGTGTTGGTTATCTTAGTTAATATGTTCTCATTTAATATTCAAATATAATACTACCTAGATATAGGTATTATTAGATTGATTTCATGAAGTCCATTGTAGGATTTGGCCCAGGTGGTAGGGGTAGAAATGGAATTCAAAACCAGATCCGGCTGATCCCGAAGTGGCTGACATTTCTCTGACACACAGATGGAGGTGTTCTGTCCACTTGTGCGGGGATCATGTCCGCCCTAATGGGCTCAGCAGGCCTGTCGGGACAATGAGCTTATTCGCATGTACAAACCCTCAAAAACGGTAACTCCGGGTCATGACTAAGTTTCAAGCTGAATGCCTGGGACAGTAGGTGCGGAAGGCACTCTCCAGAGAGTGGGCTGGGACAAATGGGACGATCGAATACAGAGAGTGGGGCTGAAGCTGGCTTCCTGGGGGCAGCCAAGGACCTCGGTGAGTGGCAAAAGAAGCTGTTGAGGAGAATGAGGTGCAGCAGGAGCCAAGGCCTGCTTGAGCCTGGGAGGGAGCGCTGAATAACCCAGCTGGGTAGTTCGTGCAAAGCCTCCCTGCCAAGAGTTTGGAAAACATAAATCTGATTTGAAGTAGATGGTTTCGCATATGCATATGTGCAGCCGATGTTTATTTTTTCATAGTTCTCTACACTGAGTGTCCGCCGAATGCCAGCTCTTGATCTGACCGTGTTCTTCGTGCCACAACCCCTGGTGGTGGTTAGCATGTCCATTTTGGAGGCTAGGAAGCTGAGATTTGTAGAGGGTTAAATTATTTACCTAGCGTCATACTAGGAGGTAGAAGCCAGAACCAAATACCCTGATTCCAAATCGCCTGCATTTTCTACCACGAGAGAAACCATTTACGTGCGGGAAACGTGAACCTGTAGGACATTGTTCATCTTCTTTGGGCACGTGATTGCTGTGAAAGTTACTTTTTCTCTGAACTTTTTCATTCTTTTGGACGCCCGTAATTCTGAAGGTGGGGGAGGCACTTCTTTCCGGTAACCGGTGTCCGCGTTGGCTTCCCTTTTGCAGTCGCCCTGGCTTCGCCCCCAGTCCGAGGAGCAGGAGATGGGATGGAAACGGAGGAGCCACCTAAATCTGTGGAGGTCCCTGCGGGGGCGCCACCACTAACGCCCACCGGCCTCCGGAGCCCCCGGAAGAAAGCGGCTCCAGCGGAGAGCCCAGGAGTCCTTCAGCTGGGCAAGGTTCGCCCCGAGAAGGCGGTGGAGGTGGAGGCCGTGAGAATCCTGGTTCCCAGAGCGGCCATCTCCCACACCGCGCCGCGCAGGAGCGCCCACGGCCGGCCTCCGGGGCCGCGCAAAGGGGAGCCCCTGGGCCGGCCCGAGGGGGGCGCGGCGCCCGGGAAGGAGCCGCCGGAGGTGGAGCGGCTCAGGCGCGCGGAGAGGAGGCTACTGCAGGATAAGGAAGGCCTGGCCAACCAGCTCCGGGTGCAGACGGAGGTAAGGCCGCCGGCCGGGCCGGCATCAGGGAGCTCTGTGCAGGCCGCCTACCCCCCGCCCCCCCGCCTCTGGGGAGGGAAATGGCACTCACTGTGGCCTGTCACCTCACGCTGTGGCTTCCTCTTAAATTTCATGCCCTCTCTCAGGCCACCAGGACCACTGGGTTGTGTCGGAACTTACGCCCTGCCCCGCGGTGAAGGTGGAGGTGCGGGGGCGCTTTGGACAAGCCCGTCTGTAAATTGTAAAGGAGGTCACAGCTAGAAACTCCCAGACCAGAGTCTGTCCCAGGCAGCCTTTGAGGCCGACTCCACTAGCAAACCGTGGTGCGGATCCATGGACTCCCAGCGTGTTTGCCCCGCCTACATAACGCTGGGAATAAAGAGCCTGTGACGTCTGGTCTGTTTCTTTGACATTTACATCCACATCCCAGTGAACGTGGCCTTAGCCTCCACTCTTTTTCCCTGTAAGATACAGTGTGTCTCCTAGACGTCAATCTTCGTGATGCTGTGGTTAGTGGTTCTTACCCAAATATATTAATAGCTTGTCAACAAATAATTTCTAATTATAAAATTAGAATGTGTAAGCAATTTGGAAAATAAAGGAAAACAATGCACATAGTACCAACTAAGTTATTAATGTGTTCTTATGTCACCAAATAGTCTATTAAAAATAGCAACAGTGTTCTTCAATGGCTGCACCATAAACCAGTACCTATTATTGGACATTTATGTTTTAACTTTTGTGTTTTCAATAACAACATAAAGAGTGTGCTAGTAGAGAATCCTGAACTGCTTCCTTTGCTTAAATCCTTAAAAGTAAAAATCCTAGGGCACAAATAAATTATTTTTTAAATGTTGAGTAAGGTTAAAAAAACATGAAACATTCTCTGTCATATTTAACAAAACTTATTGTTTAGTTTTCTAACTTTTCCTCTTTAAGTTTTGACTGGAAGCAGCTTTTTTTTATGATAATGATTTGTGCTCCTATTATAAGATGCTCAGTCTGTATCCACGTGGACTATAAGTACAGATATAAAGCAATGGATGTAGATATGGTTAATGTATGTATATTATGAAACTTAAATATGTAATATCACTTTCTGATCTATATTTTAAGAGGTCCAAATTACACAAAACAGTTTCTCTTATTCATTTTGCGACATTATCGTCACTGACATTACTCCTCAACTTCCCTGAAAGTGCTTGTTATATTGGTCACATGCTCTTCCAGGTCAATCGTGAGTTAAAAAAGTTGCTGGTGGCTTCCGTTGGGGACGATCTTCAGTATCACTTTGAACGTCTAGCCCGCGAGAAAAATCAGCTCATCTTGGAAAACGAAGCCCTGGGTCAAAACACAGCGCAGCTCGCCGAGCAGTTGGAACGCATGTCGATACAGTGCGACGTGTGGCGAAGCAAATTCCTCGCGAGCAGGTATCTTCTCTTTTAAATGGTATTTCATTGTCTAGCGTTTGATCTATCAGCTTTTTGACGCATAACACAAGAAGGCTGGCTGTAGTGTGAAAAATTCCGAGTTGGCTGTGAAAGTAACGCATGTGTTACACACGCAGCCGCCCTACATGGAGAAGTAGCACCTAAGGGCCTCACTTGTTCCAGAATTCTTGGCTGCTCCCACTGCAGTGTTTAATGCCAGAACAAAACAGTCAACTCAGGCATCTGGTGAATATTAACATCACAGAAAACAAACTAATGATTTTTCTGGAGAACTCAGATGTCGTTGCCGCTCTGTAAGAAACTATTAACTCGTCCTCCATGCCCTGTCCTCGTGGTATTTAACCAAGTAACGGATTTTCCCAGTATTCCTCTCTCCATGCACAAAGAGAGAAGGCTGGCGTTGGTGTGGCATGCGGGGTGGGCTGCTCTCCACAGGGCTGGGGACACACTGAGCGTCGTGTCCACGGGGAGCTCGGCTAGGAATTACGTAAGGTTCTCTGCCCGTCTGTCCCCCGCCTTCCAGCGTGGAGCTGGGCTGCCGGAGAGCGGCATCTGGGTGTTACCCGGCTGCGGTCCCCTGCTTAGCCGGTGTTTCACGCATGCAAGGCCTCATAGCTGTTGATTGAATCCAATCAACCGGTGACATCTCCCGAACCCCAAAGGTTCCCAGGCACTTGGAGAGCCCCTGGTTGTCAGGGGCAGATTTTCAGGAGAGTGCTTCTTCATGTTGTAATGTCTGTGATAGTCTTTAGGGCTTGACTACTCTTTTCAAGTCCTTAATTTGTTTTCTAACTGTGCTAGCACAGGGTGCTGTTCGGAGAAATGAACTTTTGTCTTAGAATGAAAGTTAATTAGTTCTCTTTCAACCGTTTAAGAGGCATATTGTAATATGTAACTTCTTTTTAACACCTTGACCAAAACTGACAGTAACATCCTAAGAGCAATAAAAATTATACTTTATTGGTTTATTAGTTGATTAATCATTCATTATCAGTTTTTTAATTTTAAGGAATTTAGTGGTGGCTATGATTTGCAACTTCTATTTTAGTTTTAAGATTTTCAGCTGAATAAACATACTTAAAATTTTGCTTTAGCTCCAATAAGGAACTGGTTAAATAAACTTTGGTACATCCAGTCGGAAGAAAACATGAAGTTTTTATTTTTTTTTAAAGGGAGTGAGATAGCTCTGTATGTGCTAATATGGAAAACTCACCAAGATAAACTATTAAGTGAAAAAAGCAAAGTATAGAAAGTTTATATTAAATAACCCCTTTCCTATAAATAAAAAGAATATATTTATTTCTAACACATACTTTTTATGTTAAATATACATAAATTTTTTTCTGGAAAAATGTGTAAGAAGCTTCATTGGTTACAGATGTAAGGAGGATGGGCACTCTGGCAGCAGGGGAGACTCAGCTTCCTTTCACAGAAGCCTTTCTACGTTATTTTAATATTTTCCTAAGGGCAAAGAGGTCATTGGATGGTAGGAAAATAATGCATTTTTGTTTTCCTCTAAACTGTTTTGTATTTAAAATATTTGGCTAATGTTTGTTTTTGTTTTTGTTTTCAAAATTTGATCAATCTGGAGTAACATTGCAGTACATTCTGAAAGGTCCATTTCCTTTGTCATTTTGTAAATATTTCAATTGACTCCCTTCAGTGAGTTCTCAGCTTGTAAACATTTTAAATGCTTTTTAGTGAAGATTTAAAAACTGAGAATCCACCTATGTTAACTCTTCTTCGTTAAGCTTTTGAAAATGACAGTCACCAAGGTCATGTATTGACCTCTCTGCACCGTGCGGTCACCGGAGAGTCTGTAGGTGGGATGTTAATCTCTTGCAGGGTCATGGCGGACGAGCTGACCAACTCCAGGGCGGCCCTGCAGCGGCAGCAGCGCGATGCCCAGGGCGCGATACAGGATCTCCTGAGTGAGCGGGAGCAGTTCCGCCAGGAGATGGGAGCCACCCACAAGTACGGCCTTCGTTCACACTGTGAACACTTCTGCTTTCTCCTGCGGGTTCTGTTCTGTTCTGTTACTGTGACGGCTCTGTAGTGTCACTACATTGAATAACTTACTGGCGTGTACTTTGAATAGCGATTCAAAATAGATGAGGGAGGAAGACTGAAAAAAATAGAAGATGTGCTTCTTAGTTATATCTGTAATAGAAGAAATCTCTGGGTTTAAAAGTCAGTTTTGATTCTATCTGTAGCACTTCTGTAAAACTTTTGGTAGAAGCCAAGGAATGTACCTGTCCTTCCTCTGGAAGGAGATACTTTCGAGGACCATTTAACAGGGTGAGAGCTCATCTTCACGTTCATGTGCGCCAGACCCTTCAGAACTGATGGTCTTCCCTGAAAGTGCTTGTACCCCTATATCTTGTATCACTGATTCATTGCAAATCAAATCAGTGCAGCTCAAAGGGGAAATCACAGGGGAACTTGGAAGAATGAAAACCCAATGTATCAAAATACCAGCTTTTGTGGGAGGCAACTAAAGCAGTGTTTAGAGGGAAATGGGTAACTTTAAACGCTTAGTTTAGAGGAGAAGAAAGGTCTCCTCAGTAATCTAAGCTTCCTCCTTAAGAAATAGAAGGAGCAAATTAAGCAAAAAGAAGAAAACAGTAAGGATGAGAGGAGAAATAAATGAAATACAAAGCTAAATGCTGCTGCTTTGAAAAGATAAAATTAAGAAACCTCAGTGTAATCAGGGGGAAAAAAGATAGACATGACCAGTAGTATCAGGAATGAGGAAGGGGCCACACTACAGATTCTAGTGACATAAAAAAAATGATAATGGGGGACGTTAGGAACAACACTCTGCCAATGACGTCAACAACTTAAATGGACAAACTCCTTAAAAGATACGAACTACCCAAGGGTATTCAAGAACAGGTAACCTGAATAGCATAACCTATTCAAACAATTGTATTTGTAGTTAAAAAAAACCTTCCAGCAAATTAAACTCCAGGCCTAGAAGGATTCACCAGTGAATACTAGCAAACATTGAAGGAAGAAATAAAGCCAAATTTACACAAGCTCTTCTGGGAAGTAGAGAAGTAGGGAACAATTTCCACTCATTGTGTGAGGCCAGCATTGTCTTGATACCAAAATGAGACAGAGACATTGCAAGGAAACTATAGGCCCATCTCACTCACGAACATAGATGCAAAAATCCTTAACAGAGTTTTAATGAATCAAATCCAACCGTGTCCAGTCATGTGCTGCTAAGGACATTTTGGTCAATGTGGACTCCAGTGGTCCCATGAGATTATAATGGAGCTGGGAAATTCGCATCACCAGCGGCGTGGTTGCCAGCATAAGGCAGGCTGGCGTGTTTGCCGTGACGCTGGTGGAAACGAACTAACGCACCGCCAGTCACGTTAAAGCAGAGGGAGCGCGTCCAACATGTGGAGACCATATACTTGATAGTGACCGTAAGTGACCATTTACTGGTTTATGTGTTTCCTATGCTATCTTTTTTATCGCTGTTTCAGAGTGTACTTTTTCGACGTCTGATAGAAGCAGTGTGCTGGGGGATGGCAGCAGCAGCCTCATTCAGCTGCTGTCTCTTGATCGCGTCATTTTCTCGCTGCTGATGTAATCGCATGCTGGTGGCAGTGAGCCGCCATCCCAGTTTGCAGCCTGGGAGTGGTCGGCCGCACCGTGCAGGCCAGGCCGGCCGAGGCTGCGGCCAGGCGGCGTGGGAGCGCGCTGTGATGGTGGCGCCATGGCGCGGCCGTCTGATGCGCATTTGCCAGAAGACAGCCCCGCTGGTAGGTGGAGCGCGGCTGTGTAAAGCGGTTTTACATCATGTCCCAGTAAACTTAGCCCGGGAATTGTAGGTTAGTATAACATTCAAAAGTCAATTAGTGCAACTCTCCAGAAGAGAAATACCATATGAATATCTCAGTAGATACACAACTAAGTGAGCATTCTAGCGTACTTCGCCTACCTAAAAAGAGGAGAACAAAACGCTGTTTGTTAAGGGATTTCCAGATGACAACCTACTAAATTGGTAAGGGCTTTCTGTAATCTGACTTCACCAGGTCCTCTGATTTATTGAACTCTGACAGCAAGCAATGGAGAAAGACGGTGTCTGATTTCCGGAGTGTGTCGCTTGCGCCTAGCTCCCGGGTGCTCCGCTTTGCCCCCTCGCTGCCTAACGGCCCGTGCACTCGCCTCTCTCCACAGGCTGCTGGAGGGGCTCCTGGCCTCGCTGCAGTGGGGAAGGGAGCAGACGTACCGCCCCCGCGTGCCGCCGCGCAGCACCGCCGAGCTAGCCCTGGCTAATCATGAGCTGGCCAGCGCGGTGAACTCTCATCTCCTGGGAAACGTCGGAATGAACGGTCAAAAAAAGAGTCCGTCACCAGCTGAATTCTGCAGCACCCCTGCAGAAAAAATGGCGGAAAAGGTGAACTTTTTCTTACGTGATCTGTAGACCTTTTAACACTGTCCTCTTCCTGAAGGGTAGCACGTTCTGAGGGAAGCGCGAAAATACCGTATCCAAACACGATTCTCATGCAAATAGGCTTGTGATCTTGGAGAAGGTGATTTCTTCCTCTGAGCTTTAATTTTCTCAAATATGACTGTTCTGTTCTTCAGGAGAAAAATGTAATTGTTTAGAAAGAGGGCCTATATTTTAGCCTTTTCCTGAGTTCATTTTGATATGAAAACGACTGTAGAATTTTAAATTTAGTAATCATGAGCAGGTAATAGATTATTTATGATCTAAGATGTTGATTCCCACATATAGATGCGAACTTGCCAACTTCTGCGGAATCATAGAGTGTAGGCCTGGCACGCATCGTCCTGGGGGGAGTCAAGGTCATGTGGGTGAGCTGTCAGGCCCGTGGTCGCACAGTTCTGGCCACAGCCAAGTCCACTTCCGCAACTCTTCCTATCCAACTCTCGGTTCCCGTCTGAGGCCTGTCATTAGTTAGACCTGCTCCACTGTTAAAGCCTTCGGCCTAGCATCTGTGCAAAGGTCTGGGATCTCGGGGTCTCCCCAGCTCTGATGCCTTCACTCTGGTCACCTGCTCCTGGATCACATTGTCGTGTTTATTGCCTCCATCCGTACATTTTTCCTTCATCTCATCCGCCGCTCTCTTGGCTCTTCCCTTGCCTCGGCTTCCCTGGACTCCATTCTGAAGCACCTTTGTCTCTACCCTCGACTCGGAGCCCTGAAGACTCCAGCCCTGTGTCCGTCCAGCTGTGTGTCGTCTTTGTTCCTGTGCCCGTCAAACTCGTCCGCAGGTGTCTTGCTCCTTACGTACCGAAGGAGAAGAGCAGAGGCAGAAAACTCGCTCCAGGTTGCTGTCCACGTGTCTGTCTGGCAGCTGCCTGCCCACACGCTCCCGTAGGCTACCCCCACCTGTGTGTCCACGGACAGCGAAAAGTTGAACGACCCTTCTCTCCTTGCCTTAGCATTTGTACTCCCCACCCCCCCAGAAAAAAAAAGAAGAAAAACAAGCTTCGTCTCCACTACTCTCTATCGTAGTGCACTGTACATACTATGTAGGGATGTTCTGAGGATTCCATAAAATGATGCATATAGAGCCTAGAGCAGATTCCAGGATAGTATGACTTCTCAGTCAGTGACAGCTATCGTTTGTATCATTTTCTTCACCCCCCAAACCCTGTTGATTTTAGAAATCCTATCAGGTCCTTTTACTCTATCTTCTCCCCCAAGTTCAACCATTGATCTTCAGCCTGGACTGTTGCAGCGGCCTCCTCTCCTGCAACTCCCTCTCTTGCTTTCCACCTGCCGGAGAGTTCCTTCGAAAAAGCCACCCCCCAAAATGTCAGTGCATTCGTCTTGGTACTCCTGTTCAAACAGCTCCAAGTTTCCCTTGTTGAGTTTGAATTTTTTATATTGTGTAAAAGGGTTTTCATAATCTTCTCTTCATTTTCCCTTTTCAAGGATCATTTCCCAGGTGTACCTTCCCCACACACCATACACACAATTCACGTTCCAGCAGTTAACCGCTTTTTATCCCACTGTGCCAACCTGCTCACGCGCCTGCGCCGCCTATCCCTTCTGCCTCGCCTGCCCTTTCAGCGCCTCTCCCCCTTAAAGAATCAGCCCCCCCGGATCTCACTGGCAGACCTAGATGTGCCTTCCTCCAGGCTTCCGTGGCATTTTGCATATATTTATTGTAGCTCTTTAATATCGAAAGTTGCACATTTGATTCTCTGTCACCCAAGCTATAAGGTGTTTTAAGGGCAGGACTGGTCTTATGTGTCCTGAAGGTCTGGTGTAATCCTTTGCACATAGTAGGTTCTCAGCCGTTTAGTAAATGGATCAGCACCTAAAACTAAACTCATCACTTTATCCTTTCTGTCCTCCTCCTCCGTCCTCCTTGGGAAGTTGTGTCCCCACCTGCAGCGTTCGGTCGAACTGACCGCTCCTTTCCTGAAGTGCTCGCTTCCCTTGCATTATGGATCCAGGGCTTTTCGCTCTCCCTTCCCACTGGCGCCTCCTCCCTCCTCTGCGCTGTAACCCACCCCCCTCGCATGACAACAGCTGGGAGAACGTGAGCATGAGGAGCAGGAACTAGGAGCCAGCGCTTCAGGTCACCTGTGCCCAGGAGTCCCTCCTGTTGTGGGTCTTAGCCAAGGAAGCAGAATCGAGAAAACCTGGGCAGGAGAATCAGGGAGCAGGGTGTCCTTGAAACCCAGGACACGAGAGCACAATGGTTAGCGTGCAGCGCTGCATACAAGTTAGGGAACGACAAGTGAGACGCCGTTGGTTTCCGTAAGTAAGGGATCATAGACTGAAGGAGGATTTCAGTACCAGAATCAAGGCAGAACCCCGATTCCAGGCAGTTGAATGGAAGACGGAAGGAGGAAGGTAGTGGGTGCTTTTTGGTTTAGGATAAAAGTGAACATCACTTCATATAGAATTGATATAACCTGATCTTCTGTGTTTTCGTGCTCTTTCGTCAGTATCCATAGGAAAACAGTAATTTCTTCATTTTTAAAAAAATAGGTAAACTAGGTAATGTGGTAATTACACATCATTGTTAAATTTAGAGCTTTTTTATTAAAGGGATGTTCTCTCAATCAAATTTGTTACTCAGATGTTATTTTTCATGGTAGTTACAGAGTACTGAAATGGAACTTCACAGGTGGTTACACCTCAACAAAGTCAAGGGGTTTACAGTCCCTGCTGCGTACCTCTGACGTTATTCCTCATTTTCCTTAGGTTCTCCGCAGTTCGGACCCAGCTACCTGTACAGAAAGCCGACCCGATCATCCATTTTCTGAGTCTTCACCAACCACCCTACTTGCTACAAAGAAAAATATTGGGCGATTTCATCCCTATACTCGATATGAAAATATAACCTTCAACTGCTGCGATCGCTGCCAGGGTGAGCTCATCGTCCTTTAACGCTCAGCGCCAGTGGCGAGCCGCAGGCCCTCGTCCGTCCCAGCGGTCGCCCTTGCTCAGAAGCTGGGTTCCTATAGTGCTACACGTACTCTCACTTTATACTTAAGCAACATATACCCCCAAAGATGTTTCATGGGCTAGACTCCGAGTTACCCTTTTTTAACACAGGTCTCAGGGTCAGGAAAGAATGAAACTGCGGATACATCTAAGGTGGAGAATGCTGCCCAGGCATGACATGATGCTTTTCCTAAATCTAAAAGGAAAAGAACTCCACCTTCTTCTAGAGTATGATTCCTTGTTTATCTTGCTGTGTTTATGAGAGCAGGTTTCATTTTGGTGGTTGAAGTCCGAGGCTGGCACAGGCCAGCGCTGGGTCCCGGGCAGCCACCCAGCACGGGCTGCCTTTGGGGCCGCTGCAGAGCTGAGCGGATGGGACGGGGCTGCGGAGCCCAGAACATTTACTGTCTCGCTCGTCACAGTTTTCTGACCCTGACTCTAAAGTAGTAACTGGCTGTGGATGTTGCAGGGAAAGAGTGTTCTTTTCCTTTTCAGTGATTTTCGGGGGGGCTACAAAGGAGGCTTAGGGAAAACTATAGGTGAAGGGTTTTAAAATAAATGCTATATATTAGGAAAGTTAACACTATTTTACAGCTACATTAACAAGTGCTTCAGCAAACATATTCTCATGTTGGTTTTGTGCAGGGGATTCCATAGTTTAGGTGGGTGCAACTTGACATGTATAGAAGAAATAGATTCTGACTGTTGAGCTCATTTTGACAAATGCAAACAGAATTCCCATTTGATATTTACAGAATACGGTGGAACAAGTGGGATCTTTCTAGAATACTATACAAACTCAAACATGCAACCCACCGATTCATTTATATTATGTCATATCTATTATTTATGATGACAATCACAAAACACCCTTTTATAAGCCTTTAAAATTATCCCTAAAATGTTTATACCAAATTATACTAGTTAGTTACATAAGCGCTCATCAATAGAGAAATCTTCAAGAAACAAATCTGGTCAGAGCACAATATATTTTAATGTCAACCTAATGGTTTTTTTGGGGGGGGTCTCATTCATCTGAATTATATTTATAATTTCAAGTGGCAATAAATTTCTCTATATTCTTTATTCAGTATTGTCTTTTTTTCCTCCAGAATGATGTATTTCAGTTCAAGTTTTCAGTTCAAATAATGTAATAGCTTATACTATTTACAACTGCTTCTTCAGCGTTTCCTTTAGTTTTACTCAGTATAAACTGAGACGAAAACATTGAGGAAAAGCTTCATGACATTGGATTTGGCAGTGATTTCTTAGATGTGACACCAGACACACAGGCAACAAAAACAAACCAACAAAGAGAACAGAACTTCAGCAAAACTAAAAGCTTTTGTATGTCAGAGAACACTGTCAGCAGAATAAAAAGGCAACCCACAGAGTGGGTAAAAATATTCGCAAATCATACACCTAACAAGGGTCCAGTGTCCAGAGTGAACAAAGAACTACAACTCAACAACCAAAACAAAGAACCCAACTTAAAAAATGGGCAAAGGACATGAAGAAACATTTCTCCAAAAAATAAATACTAACGGTCAGTCGGCACATCAAAAGATGCTCAACATCACCAATAGTTAGGGAGATGCAAATCGAGCTCCTCATGCCTGCCAGGGTGACGACATTCAGAAAGCAACACAACAAGGCAAGGGCGTGAAGAACTCGACTCTGCTGCACCGCTGGCAGGGATGTAAAAGGGCACAGCCGCTCCTGAAGGCGGCACGGCAGCGTCCCAGAAAAGTTAACGAAATCACTTTTGGCCCAGCAGTTCCACGTGGAGGTAGGTACCCGAGAGAGTTGAAAGCAAGGACTCAAACAGGTATTTGTACGGCGATGTCAACAGCAGCGTCATTCACAATGGCCAAAAGGCGGGAGTAACACAGGTGTCCCTGGACGGACGGACAGATGGACGGATGGATGGGTGGATGAGCAAATTGTAAATAAGTAAGTAGATATGTATCTGGAAGGGAAAAGCCTTAACAAGCAATGAAAATCTGAGGTGTGCTAGCACATAGAGGAATCTCTAAGAACGTCACGCTCGGTGAAATACATCAGAAACAAAAGGGCAAATAGCGTACGATTCCACTTACAGGGGTACTGGGAATAACGAAATCAGACACAGAAGCAGAACAGTGTTATGAGGGGTTAGGGGAAGGCAGAGCGGGGGCGGGGGGGCGGTTTGTTGAAGAGGCAGAGTTTCATCTGGGATGATGAAAAATTCTGGAGATGGAAAATAGTGATGGGTGTACAACAATGTAAGTGCGCTGAATGCCATTGAGTTGCACATTTAAAAGTGGTCAACTTTACATACATTTATAGACATTTTACCATAAGAAAAAAATAAATTGTAACCTCAAACTGGCAGCACACTTCTGCAATGGTTGGTTTAAGAGTGTCAATAATACCAACAATAAAGTTAACACTGAACGGAGCTAAACAGAATAAAAGGTCTCAAATCAACAATCGGACATTACACATCAAGGAACTAGAAAAAGAAGACAACTAAACCCAAAGCTAAAAGAAGGAAAGAAACTGAAGTTAAAGCAGAAATGAAATAGAGAATGAAAAAACAATAGAGTATCAATAAACCAAAAGTTGGAACTTTGAAGTTTCATGAAATGGTCAAACCTGGGGTCAGACTGACTAAGAAAGGCAGAAGATAGAAATAACTAAAATCGGAAATGAAAGGACATTATTACCAACTTCGTGTACATAAAAAAGAAACAATTGTGCACTGACAAATAGCCTAGATAAAATGGATGAATCCCTAGAAGCACAAAAATGACCACAACTGACTCAAAAAGAAACAAAATCTGAACAGACCTATAACAAGCGATTAAATCAGTAATCAAAACCCCCTGACACCAACAGCCAGTCCTAATGTAGCCACAGACCCTGGGTAGTAAGGACGTGTGATGTAGGCTCGTGAGTCGTCACAAATGCACCGCTTTGGTCAGGATGCTGGTAGTGGGGGAGGTTGGGGGTGCAGGGGAACTAGGGGAACTCTGTGCTTTCTGCTCAATTTTGCTGTGAACCTGAAACTACTCTGAAAAACAGTCTACTGAAAAAGAAAAGCCTTCCCATCGAAGTCCAGGACCAGAAAGTTTCGCTGATGAATTCCACCAGCTATTTAAATTGATACCAATCCTTCTCAGTATCCTCAAAAAAATAAATAAATAAAAGGGGAGGGAACAGGGAACACTTTCTAACTCATTCTCTGAGGCCCGCATTCCTCTGATACCAAAGCTGCACAACGCCACAAGGAAAGACTCCTCCAGACCAGTATCTTGTGCATACAGATGAAAAAAATCCTCAGCAAAACACTAGCAGACTGAATGCAGCAGCTTAGCGAAGAGATTGCACACCACCACCAAGTGGGATTTATCATCAGCCAAGGTGATACAGCACATCGATAGAACCGAGGATAACATCACATGATCATTTCACTTGTTGCAGTCTGGACAGGATTTAAGAGTTATCTACGTTTCCTGATTTAGGGTCCAGTGGCTAAGGCCCAAATCTGCAGTGGGTCAGAACGTCGTCTTCTGAAGCTTCACCAGAACCCCGACAGCGATTCTCCACTCTCCATCACACCTGTCCATTCACCGCGGTCCTCTGCCTCTTAAAAGCTCTTATTGTAGGTATCAGGGAATGATCCTCCCCACACCCGCTTCCGATGTAGCCTTAAATACTTCGCAGATGTCCACCAAAGCATGTAAGCTGTGTAACTAAGCAAAAGGATTTTGCAATCATACAGATTAGAGTCTGTGAGCAAACTACTTACCTCTGTAATGTCCTCATTGTCAAAAGAAGACTAACAGAGTTATAAGCATTATATCAAATTAACTTATGTAAAGTATTTACAACAATACCAGGCACATTATAAACTAAGAGCTGGCTAATTTTATAACATACCTAAAATTGTGCTATGCATAATTGTTACGTTTCTTTTAAGAAGCAGGCCTACCCTGTCGCTTAGCTTGCCACAGCAATTCAAATTTGAAGCTGATAAAAACAGAACTTTGTATAAGGTCTGCAGTCAGGCCAGTTTAAGGGGTCACTCCTGCCTTATGAAATGTTCTATTACAATTTTCTTTCATGATAATAGAAATCTGTGCCTTTCTTGTGGTTCTTTCTGGCTAGAAATGTTCAAATAATCTAGAAGTAAGGGAATAAAGAATTCAGAGGTCATTCACCGTTCAATTTGTTGCATGGGCTAAGAAATGGTATAACACATTTCAACACTTCCAGAAATTTATTTTGTTCTAGTTTAAAAAGAAAAAAAAAAAAGGTAAATCACTATCAACATCACCAAAAAGATGGGTACGTACCCTTTCCATAATTTAGAGTATAACCAAAGCACACGGGCCATGAAAGAATGATATCCAAAATTCTGAGGATAGTGGCTTCAAAATGAAGTGTTTAATCAATACCTTCAGTTGTAATAGTCAGTGAAACGAAAAGATTTGGCTTCGGACGTGTTGTACAGCTGATTTAACTGTTTAGAGCGCTTCGCTTCTAGTCGCAGCTGCCTCGCTCTTTCCTTTGCGGCTTGCTGCTCTACCAGTTTTTCGATCCGTTTCCTTCTAAGCCACCTGTAGAGACATGATCAGATCTGGTATCAGCTTGGATAAACTTTTCATGCTATAAAGTTACCACTACAGACAAGCAAAAGAAATTGAATTTCTTTACAATGAAATGCTGTAGTCACAACACAAAGTGTTAACTGAAAAATTTCAGGCTTATCACCTAGGCTCACACAAGAAAGCATAGTTACATTTGATATTGAATGTTTGAAATTAAGTTTGTCTTACAATAAAATTGCCAACAAAAATGTTTTTTAGTGATGAACAGTATTTTGGGAGCCAACTGGAAAAAAATGATTATGAGCTAGATATAAATGAGATCATTAATGAAAATAAGCCGATTGCAGAACAGTTTATAAGTATGATCTCAATTTCTATTTTTAAATTATATAGAGAAATATCTAGAAAATAGGCATTAAGGTCCTAACGCTAGTGATTTTTGAGTGATGAAAATGTGATTTCCCCCCCTCCATTTCCACAATGCTCATTTACTGCTTCAATAATAAATGGTTATATGTTTTTTTTTAAAAAAAAAGAAGGAAGGAAGGAAGGAAGGAAAGAAGAGGTAGAGAAACAAAGAGAAATATAGCAAAACAAACAAAAAGCAACTAAAAACCAAAAACAGAAAGGAAAGAAACTCCAAACAACAGGACCCCCATGAGGCTTGCTGGCAAAATTGCAAAGCCAGGTGTGTCTCCTCAGAGCCAGCCTGGTCCAGCAGGGTCTTGCCCGGGAAACTGAGACGAGGTCAGGACCACCTTAAGCCACCAGACGTCGTGCCCAGGTCTCCTTTCATTTGGCCCATGTAGACCTTCCTCCTCAGTCGGACTGCATTTCTTTATAGAAAAATATTTCTAGGTAAATGCAACCCTGTAGTCAGTTTTTCTGAGGACGACGCAGGAGAAGCTGTAACCAAACTTTGGCCCATTTCTCTAATAAATGAACAAATGAATGAATGAATGAATTAATGAATGAATAGTGGGCTGTCACAATGGTGCCACAAGAAACAATTTTAGTGCGGACATCTTGAAAGAATGGTATCAGTACTGTGCACACTGTGGAGTTAAAGGATATTCTCCCAGTTATCGAAGCGTGGATTTAAAACTGGATAGGTATGCAGCATCAAAGGTCGAATATTTGGGTATTTTCCCCCAAGCTTTACTGATTATATCACTTTCCAAAACGACCTGGAGGCCGGGGATGCTTGGCCTCTGACTTACTGCTTAAAGGCCCTGTCGCGGCCTTCGGCTCCTTTAAGGAAGAATAGGAATTCCTCCTGCCTCCGGAGTTCTTCCGTCTTCCTTTCTCTCAGCTGCTCTTCATGCTTCTTTTTAAGCCATAATCGAAAAGCTTGTTGCGGGTCTCTGTTTTCCTGCTGATTACAAAAATAAGCTTTGCTTAATTTCAATAAACCAACACAATTTTCAGGGCCCCCTACAGGAATGTGTCCCACGCATCAATTTTTCATAGTTCTGTGATGCCGACCTCGTTGCCTGCGCTCGAGTCCAAACCAAATAAACCACCTTGGAGTCCGCACACTGACCGCCCTCCTGCCAAAAAATGCCATGCTGACTTCGCCGCCCTCGGGCTTCCTCCCACGGCCTTACCAAGCACAGCGCCCTGTGCTCACTGCGGCGCCGTGTGCAACAGCCACGGCGGGGCAGCAGCCCCGGGGCCAGGGATGGACGCTTGGATGCAGCAGGTGCGGTATTTAGGTACACACTATTCAGCCATTATAAAGTTGAAATGTCGCCATTTGCAACATGGCTGGGTCTCGAGGGCACTGGGGTAAGTGCAATAAGTCATATGGAAAAGGACAAAAACTGTGATTTCACTCGTTTATATGTGGAATGTAAAGAAAAATGAAACAAATGAACAAACAGAACAAAAGAAAAATAACGTCTTAGGGAAAATAGGTGGGTGGGTGCCAGGGGAAGGGAGTGGGAGGAGGGCACAAGGAGTAAAGGGGACCAGCTGTGTAGCGGTGAGCGGCGAGCTCACTGCGGCGCGCGCAGACATGGAACCATAATGTTGTACACCTGAGACTTACTTAATGCTATTAGCCAACGTTATCTCAACAAAAACACATGCATGCATACACTGACGAGAAGAAAGAAAACAATATAGTATAACAACTATCTACATATCATTCACATTGTATTAGGTATTACAAGTAATCTAGAGATGATTTCAAGCATACGGGAGGATTCCGAGGCTTATATGCAAATACCGCTCCCTTTACAAAAGGGACTTGGGCATCCAGAGATTTTGGTATCTGCAGAGGGATCCTGGGATCAATCCCACACGGATATCGAGGGATGGCCATCATGAACAAATGAAGAAGGTCTAAACGTAGTGATCTATAAACTTTGCCAAGTTGAGCCCTTTGACAAAGAAAATAATTCCGCACAAAGGCACACACAAAACCGTCAGAGAAAGGCAGTATGAGCAGAGGTGAGGTCTTGGAAGCCATTTGAAGGGGCTCCATAGAATACAGTGTGGAAACTGACAATCCAACACTTGCGCTTGTGGCTTTTCTTTGAGATTCTAACGTTAGAGCACCTGGCTCCCCAGACCGTGCCGGCGCTGGAATCACTATTGCAGAGAATGGCCTCACGCTTGCAGCCGCAGTTTTCTCTTGCGGATAACAGCGGTGAGGGTGCGTCACAGAAGAGAGGAGTGGGAGGGGCTGACTGTGTGGCTCCTCAAGCTTCATAATAGACACTATCTCCAAGGAATTTTGAGAAGTTGAAGGAGAATAAAGAGAGCAAAGGGACCGATCTGGAGCCTTTACGTGGATGCCTGCCTGGTTAGAGCACTCATTTAATTCTTTCCCCAAATAGGAGCTCTGTGATACTGAAGGCCTTCTCCCTGGCCTTTTCCTTTATCTGTAATCCACGTGGCAGCGGATTCTCCAGTCTAACTTGTAAGCTGTATGCAACTAGGATCTTCGATGTTCCACGCGGAACTCAGTGAAGAGGGCCTGCAGGATCATCGCAGAACACCCAGACATCGGGGAGTGGCGGGAGATGGCTAAGAAGCATTCAATCCAGAATTGCAGATCAAGAGTCAAGAACTCAGGGATGAACAGGAGTGATGGGTATCTCAGTCCACTGATTCACTTAACAGATATTTACAGAGTATCTATTACATTGAGTATCTACAGGCATGTGGGTACTGGGTCACGTCAATGAAAACACGAGGTCCCCTCTCCCATACATTCTAAGTCTCTACTGTACAATACAGTAGCCACTAGTCACATGTGGCTACTTACATTAAAGAAAATTTTAAAAATTCACTACCTCAGTCACATTAACTACATTTTAAGTGCTTCACGGCCACAGTGTGGCCCGTGGCTACTTTAGTGGACAGCACAGATACAGGACATTTTCACCATCACACCATCGGGGCAAGTGTTGTTTGAGACGAGGAGATAAAAACAGATGATTGATTGACTGACTGATTGACATGTCAGATTCAGAAAACAGTGTGGCAAAGACAGAAAACAATAACGGGCAGCTGAGGAGAAAGGTGGTACTCGGAGGGAAAGTGAGGCAGTGAGTGAGGATGCGTCCGGAGAAAGGGGCACAGAGCAAAGGACCTGTGGAAGGTCCCCGCTTTGCATGCCTGACAAACGGCAAAGAAGCCGAAATGCAGCAAAGGGGCTGGCGCGTGGAGGGAGGTGAGGTCAGAAGTAACAGGCATCCGATGGTATACGGTCTTGCAGGCAGCGGTAGGAGCTTTTTGGACTCTATATTGAGGTGAGAAGCCACTGTCGAAGCTTCTAAACACACGCGACCCCAACTGCCCTGCCTTTGACTGGGCTCGCTCGCTGTGTGTGGGAAATAGGGTGGGACGCGGGGGAGGGGAGTGAGTGGAGCAGGGGACCAGCCTCCAGGCTTTTGCAACAGTTCGGGCAGCATGAGCGGTGGTTTGGGCCGGGGCACCGGGCTCCAGGTGTGATGTGAAGGTAGAATTGACAAATTTTACCCATAGCTTGAATGTGGGGTTTTATACCATGGCTTTATTTACATGGGTGTTTTTTAAAAATTTTTCAGGATTAGTTTTTATAGTTTTAGAAATCCAACCACATAAAATCAAACATTTCTGCATTGCAAAAGAAGGAAAGAAAAAACAAAAGGAGAAATTAATGCAGCGAGTCTCTTGAAGAAGTAGTTTTCATAATTCATGGAGAGTTCCCATAGATCAAAAAGAAAGAACCAATATTCCTAACAGAAAAGTTGACAAAGAATTTCTCTGTGAAAAGAATATTCAAACAGCTCATCGATGTTCAATCTCACTGAAAATAGCACTACAATCCAACAATATTTCCTACCTATCACATTGGTAAAAATAAACACAGTTGAACGCACATTTCCTAATGCAGGTGTAGGGGATATTTTGTGTGTGGGCGCTATCTTTGTCTTATTTGAATATCAGTTACACTACCTTGAAAATATTAGTAGTTTTCCCATTTTGGGCACTATAAAAGTTTGAATAAAAAAAATAGGAATCATTTGATTTTTGCCAGGTTTCTTAGAACGTGGTTGTAAAGTCACCTGCATGGTGCATCTTGTATGAGGGTGCTCCTGGACCACTTCCTCAGTCTGACATCAGATGCCTTTCTGTAAGTAAGTTCAGCTTTCCTGTCTGTATGATATTATTTCTCATAGAGAAGTGTTACTTACTCTACTACTCATGTCTTCAATTTGCTTTGCCCGCTGAACACGCCTCAGTTCTATGACCTGCTCCCTTTTCTTCTGCAACCACGCTTTAAATACCAGGTCGTTCTCCTTTTTCTTTTCTTTCTCTTCTTCTATTTTCCGTTGTTCTTCCTGAGGGAAAGAATATCAAAAACATTAATGGAAGATTTTAAAATTGTCCATGAGTTATTAGAGAGGTATATTCTGAGACCTAAAATTAGAATTCCCTGCCCCCAAAACTTTCCATCCAAATATTGGGCTTCCTTAAAAAAAAAAAATTGGACCTCTAGTTTGCTTAGGAAGAAAATTAAGATGGTTAAGAGGAATTAAACTGCAGAGATAAAGGCTACGGCTACATGGATGTACAATACATATATATCACTCAAGAATTCCTTTAATCTCTCCTTCACCTCCTCATTTACTTTTGGTCTGAAACTCCTTAAACTGCAACTATGCAAAAGGAGTACCCTCAGGTATTTATAAAAGCACTAAAGGTGTCAGAAATGTTTTTATATTATTGATACATTTGTTAATTGTGATAAATGGCATTGTGGTTGCAAAAGAAAATATTATTGTCACTTAGAACTGTAATTTGGAGCGTGCGAGTCAGCAATGATGTGCTGTCTAGGACTTGCTTTAATAATACTTCAACCAGAAAAGGAGGAGATGAAGCAAAAGAATGCCCAAATCTCGGTGACTTTTGAATCTGGATGATCAAAAGACAGGGGTTAGTTGTACTTTTATATGTGTTCAAAATATTTTTATTATGTTTAAAAATACTTTCAACTAGTGTATATTCATAAATTAACATTTTTGCTATCAGGAAGAATATTTAGACAATTAGTTAACCGCATGTACAAAGTGATTTTTTAAAATCTGAATTATCCAGCTAATGTTATAAAAGGGAGTTGCTTGGCCTTGAAGGGACCAGCTCTGCACGGCCATAAAGCAGTCCCCGGGGCAAGGCCCAGGGGTGTCCCGGAGCAACACCAAGAAGGGCGACCTGAGTAACAAGCGCACTGTCCTCGTACCATGTCAGTTTTGGCAACTCAAGTGTCTTCTAATATTAAAGTGTTATCATTTAAATGAACTGAACTATACAACCCATGCTTAAATTTTCTTCAAAGAATGGGCTTCAGAGTTCTTTCCTTACATTGTGGCAGCATAGCAAGCCCTTCTCATCCCTTTTGATTGAAAAAACTATAGGAAAGAAAAATTGTGTCCCCTTAACAGCATAAAATATCTTTTAAAATGTCTATGTACTGTTTTCTAAGCCCTTTCGGCGCTTCCAAAGAGTGTGACACCCAGAAAGGAGGCTCAAAAGGGAAGCAGAACTACATACCAGCTGCACCGAAGTTGCCATCGGTTCATTAGTGAAAAGATACCGAAACTATGTAAAACCTCCTATATAACTTTATGGAAATATATACACACATATACATGGATGTGTACATACAGCAAGCGGTTTGGTTCTTCTCAGATTATTCTGCGTCGCTGCAAAGTTGAGTTAACAGAGACCTTTAAGTATTGCTACATATCTGAACTGAGTAAACTGAGTCAGACTGTTAGAGTTTAGATTTTAATGGTCGAGCAAGGAAAATTTTAAGTATGCAGATTTGGGCCTGAGTGTGCCATAGGTTACACATTCTTGCTAGCTTTGTTCTTCACCTTTTCTGCTCATGTGAGTTCCTGATAAATGCCAGAAATCCCCGATACTTTCCTACATAAATGGGAAATCCACCATTTCTCAATGAACGCCCAGAAAACTGGGAATTTTGACTCCAGCTTTGCTGCAAACAAGTTGAATGACTTTGGTAAAGTTATTTAAACTTTCTACACTATAGTTTGCTTATGACTAACACAATCCGTAAGCTGCCCTCAAACTGTAAAATTCTATTAACCTGTGACTCTGTTGAGGTTTGGTCTTACGTACAGTTAGACATCTCGCATGGCTCAGCCTAATACCACCAGGCAGCCAAGAAAAGAGAATTGGGACAGTGATTCAAGTAATTTAGGAAAAACTTACCAGTTTTGGTACCTGGAGTTTTCCATTATAAAATATTTTTATTTTAAAAACAAAAAAAAAAGTACCCCAAAATAATAATTAGGGATTCCATCAGGCATTCTCGAAACATTTCGTTAAGTTTATTAGATTCTATTCTTAATAGGAAACTAAAATTTCTGAGATCAAGGAACTGTAGGCATGGGAGATACGTGAAAACACAGACACACGTCACAGAACTATCATCCAGCTCTGCCTGTGGCCTCCCAAACCCCGACACGTCTCGCCTTCACTCTTCCACCTGACGTCTGATCTTCACCTATCACGCAGCGAGCTTCCCTTCCGCAGTCCCCTGGCTCCTCTGAGCCTCACCTTTAAAATGAAAGGAGCCAAGGGGTCACCACTGAGATCTACTCCCGCCCCAGCACAGGCCGCTCGTTCCTCAACACTAGGAAACCAAAACAAGCACGCAAACGTATCCGCAGCTTTGGAGACCCGTTTCCATTCCTGCTGCGCCTGTGAGACAGGAAAACGTATTCCCCTTCCAGCCTCATGCCCCTGTGGGCTCTCACCTCTCTCTTCAGCTTCTCTCTCTTTTGTTCTAGCCGTTTCTGCAGTTCCTTCTGTCGAGGGGAAAGACAATAGGTTGAGGTCACTGGCGATACGGTCACAGACTGCATCCTGGGATGGGGCTTCCCGTTGCCCTTACTTGAGTCTGAGTTGGCGGCGGAGCTTGGGCCAGTCTTGGGGTTGGGCGGGACCTGAGGCAGAGAAGCCAGCGGCTCCTCTGTTGATGAGCCCTGAATCTTTGCTACAGGCTCTTCTTTCTCCACACCATTGACAGATGGGCTGGAAGACCTGGGTGACGACTGCTGGGGTTCATTTCCTGTACTATCGACATTATCAATGGGGAGCAAAACCCCCTGGCTCTCAATGTCCTGTAAATTCAGAAGTTCGAACTTTCCATCTCTCTCGACGAGTATCTTCCTGTCCTTGCTTTCTTCACAACTTCCATCAGTGATGGACAGGAGCACATTTTCTTGTCCAGATTCATTGGAAATTTGTAACTGTGACAGTTTTCCAGACACGTGACTTTCATTTTCAAAATAATTTTTGTAGTTGTCAGTGTCTTCCAGCGGAGGAACTTCTAGGTCCACTAATCTGTCCTTGAACTTAAGCTTTCGCTCCCTTTTATCATTCACGGGTTCTTGGTTCTGTAGAAGCTTGTTGGCTTGTGCAATTTTCTCCATAATGTATCTCCTTACTTCCTCATCTTCATCCTCCTCCAGGTCTTTCTGGCCCTCCAGTTTGGATTCTTGGACAGAGTTTTCACTGTCTGAATCTGATACTGGATCCAAGGGCTGACTACTCGGTACAGAAATGAAGTCACTTCTTGGGGAAATCTCATCCCTCAAAGCTTTGTCAGGATCAGAGAGCTGTCTGGCACACTCCGCTTCTGTTTCATTCTCTTTTAATTCTTGGCTGATGTTCTCTTCGTTCCCACAAGCCATCTAAAGAAAAGATAGGAGGTTCTCTTTTCAGTGAAAATTGAGACGCCATGTTTATTTGTATGAAAAAAAAATCAAAATGGTTTTTCAGGTTGATGTAACTTATTTAGAAAAGGGAAAATGTACATGCTTCTTGCTCGTAATATTCTAACTCATGTCTGTGAGTGCCTCAGGGGAAAAGCAAGGGGCATCAACACTTGGTAAAAATTTAACTCTAAACTTGTATTGGATGTTACTGAGTGCTATACTGATATTTAAAATTTTCATGCTGATGCATGAAAAGATAACTATAAATACTACAATGTTATTTCCATAATCTACCCTCTATAAAATTTCCCTCTTTACATTTTCAGAAGAATATTTTTAGAAATGTTTCCTCTTTGTAATACTTGTGTTCTTCAAAAAGCATCTCCATCCCCAAGCCCAGTAAAGTTACTATCTTTGGTCAAGTCCTAATGGTTTGGAGGTTCTAAGAATCCATTGGGATTGTTATTGCCATTTTCTGCAGGAGCCAAATCTGAAGTCCAGATCAATTTTTACCTCTAGATTTTCTAGAGGATAAAAAAAGTAAAATACCCATTACTTTGTTCTCAATACTCACTCCCCTGAAGAGCTCATTCGCTCTTTAAGGTTTCAGTTATTAGCTGAAAGACCATGTTTTTTGAGGACTTGCTTTATTTTTCATTTATATCAAAAGTATAACCCCATGATTTTCCCCAAATTTATAGAGAGTAGAAATAAGCTGTATTTTTTACTTTTGATACAATTAATTATATTATTAAAATTACATAAATTATGTATAATTTTAAAATTATAATTTTAGGCTTAGTAAGTGCTAACTCAACCCAGTCTCTCACCAGTTAGCCCTCTGCCCTAAGACATGGCACCTGAGGTCTCTGCGCCTCGACCTTCTCACCATAGGACAGGGATAATGTCACTCATTCTAGGCATATTAAAGACATTTTGTGAGGTTGAGATAAGACAATGTGAAACTCTTCAAGAACTGCAAAGCACTTTGTTAGCATCGTTATTATGAAGGCTGTTAGCAATTTATATACACCTCTATTATGCTGACATCACTTTTTTCTTTTTCATTAATTAACCACTCCAGGTCCTTCTCAAAGTCATCTTCATATTCTTCAGTTTCTTTGGAATTAGTATCTTTATTTTCCTCCATGATCCGTGTGTTAAAGAATAATGCTGTTAAGAGGAAAAGAGAAAAAGTCTATGTCACATCCAGTTCAGGGTAGTGTGAAGCATAAAGATTAACGTTGAAGGTAAGCTAATTAACCCCTACACACACAAAACAAGGGGGGTTCAAATAAACACGTACCTGTACACCCCAAGAGACTTACACTGGCCAGACATTTTCCAAGTGTAGTTCTCCTAACCACCACCCCACTTCCCCCCAATTCCTGAGACCCAAATTTACAAGGAAGCTGAAAGAGGCAGATAGGAAGACCCTCTGAGGCTTGGGGGGGCGGTTTCCACATTCCCTGAGTATCATTAAAACACCTTGTCCAGGTCAGAGCACACAACTCAGCTTCTTAGTCTCACTCATTTATATTTTCTTATGTTTAAATGAAAACAAGTATATCAATTCCCATCCTCAGTTTCTCAATCCTTCCTAAAGAAGGATCTAGTCATTTATATGGTATAACTATAATTTGTGATCTGAGAGCTTTTTTACTAAGTAATAACTCATTCTCACTTATGGTAAATGTTGATTTCCACAGAAGTTGGACCACTGTCAACTCTAAATAAAACATCTTTTCATTAAGAAAACAAACTCTGATGTCTAATACTAGAAAACAGAAACAAATAGATAGGGATATCACATGAAAGTTAACAAACGTCTGTGAAATGGTATATAAATTCAGTCATTTTTAAGAGAGTTACGCTCAAGTTATTTTTAAATTGAGGTCAGGGCCTACCCCCCCGGCTAATGTTTTTGTGCGTAATTTTTCAAACAGAGAAAGCCTATGACTCTCTGCCTATAATCTGTCTGCATGTGTGTGTGAACGTACCCTAGAGCATACATGTACAATTGTGGCAAGCATTCGTTGAGCACCTACAGCATTCCCATTTATAGTCCTATAAAGATTATAAAACAGACCTATGCCCTTGAGGGGCTTGCAGTCTGGCAGAGAAGACAAACATAAACAAAACACATAAATTAAAGATTAGAAAAAAACATAAAATGTAAATAAAGGTACTAACTGTGTGTGTGTGTATATATATATATATATCTATATATCTATATATCTATATATCTATATATCTGTCGAAGAAAGAATTAAAAAAGCAATTCACCCAGCCTAAAATGGGAGAGGTCACTGAGAGCTGAGATGGGGTTCGGAGACCGAGCCCGAGAGTTCATCGGTTACTCCAGACATGCAGAACAGCACGAGAAAGAACAAACACAGACAAGCCTGGAACTGAACAAAAATGTGTCCTTGAAGGAAGATCTGGAAGGAGTGAGGAGGGCTCAGTTTGATGTCATATCATCCTTTCAAAAAGAAAAGGGTTGAGGGAAAATTGTTTACGTAGATTTAATTGTCACAAAATAGCCAAGGGCGGAACTATATGGCAATATTCTACACACTTCCCACTACTGACTTAAAAACAAACGAAAAGAGAGCCATGCTCTCTAAGTGCGCATAGAATATTAGCTCAACTTTCAAAAGCCTGTAGAAACCTGATCTCAGGGCTCCAGACCCTGGGAGGCTGTTCCTGGACCTGCCTTCTCTGGCTCCTATTCCAAGAGGAAGTTGCCCGAAACCCTCTCTGGAATTAGAAAGTACCGATGCCAAGAACTTGAGAGACCTAGGCACATTTTAAAAGATGTAAAATGAGAGCTATTTTGCCTGAATTAACAAATTAGCCACAGACTTTGTTGGGACCACTAGCTTCACTTTACTCTCTCCAAACAGTCGATCAGATCGCCTGACCTCGTGCCAGTTTTACAGAAGTGACATTCATTGTGGTCCTCCCACTGTTTGCCCACAGAATGTAGTCGGGGCACACGGGAGGACACCCTTCTGGCTGCACCAGTACCTGCCAAGTGACAGGGCTTTTCAGTCCGATGTATGAAAAGCATTTCAATAGGTTTTAGTGGCACTGGGTCCAAAATGAGTTTAAAGACAATAGAGATGCTCAAAACGTAAATGGGCTCCAAGGTGGAGGCTGTGGTGTGGGACAAGCTGCACATGAAGCCCCAGCCTGCCTCCTGTCCTGCTGCAGTTCAAAGGACAGAAGGCGCGCTGGGACGCACTCAGAGGCCAGCAAACCAGGAGGGCGGACAGAAGGGATGGAGAAGGGAAGAAGGGAGGCTGTGAGAGTTAAAAACCCTAAAGCCCGATTCTGAGGGGTCCCGAGCCCGTGGGAATGGCAGCCTGAAGAGAACACGGTGCAATGAGGATGAATGTTATAAAGATTTAAATGGCTGCCATGCGAAAGAGAGTTGGACTTGTATCACTTCAAGTAGTAAAATGAGCATCAGGGGCAAATTCGGGCACAATGGAAGATAGAATGTCCATGTTAAACCTTGTCCTGAAGTGAGGCGAGATGACCGTCGAAGTGCCCAGAGGATGACCAGGCATGACTGTTCTAATGGCGGTCAAAGCTTTAGAGAAAGTTGAGCTCGGTGACTCTTAAGGTTGCGTTTAATATTTTCTGTAAGGTGCAAATTAACAAATAACTGCCAACTCATGACAAGTAAGAGAATGTAAAAGCAAATGCGTAGTGCCATGAGAAAGCATATCTAAAATAATCAGTGTCTGAATAAGTAAGTCCAAGATTTAAAAACATTGTAGATACGAGAGCAGGCTGTCAGCTGTTAGGGTAGGCTGGGAAGGCAGGGGCGGAGGGATGGAGCCAAAAAGAAATAAAAAGAGATAGAAAAATACCCCTGAACAGAGACAACGGTGTGGTAATTGCCGCAGGTGGGGTGGGGAGGGTGTAGCGGAGATACACGGTGATGGACGGAGACTGACTTGTAGTGGTGAACGCACAGCATGGTGTATAGATGATATGTTGTAAAACTGTGCACCTGAAACCTGTAATTCCTTCTAGACATGTATTGCTTTTAAACTAAGACTATAACATGGATTTTCTTAAACGACTCAAAGTAAAGCTGCAATAATTTGTAAATCAGAAGTTGAGAGCAATAATACTTTGAGGCGACCTGAACAAACGAAATCAATATTTCAGAGTGAGTTTATTTACCACTGCCTACCGGCAAGACACGTTATTTTCCTATAACTTCAAAAAGCTCATGGCTGGTTCCCAAGTGAACAAAGAACACAAATCATAAACTCGCTACCAAGCCCCTTGAGCCTTTTCCAAATGCGCCACAGGGTATTCAATCCCCTTCCGTTCTTTTAATCTTCCTCCCCGGGCACTGACCCTCCGGTGCGGTCAACATGCTCCAACAAACACCCCTTACACATCGGAACCGCCCAACACTGATTTCTTGTGAGCTTCACACATTTAAATTTCCCAGTTCATCCTCAGAAAAATCTATGTAACTGGCTTGGACCAGAACCACCTTCTTAACAGAGAACTGTAATAAGAAACAGAAATCAACTCCTTCCCCCTGAGTGTCTGCTAACTCCCACGTGGGTATGGGATTGCAGATCTTTTAGTGCTGACTGGGTCTAAGTCGAGTCCAGAAATATACACGCTTTAGATAACTTTCAGGATTCAGAACTTTCAAACATAGTTTCATCTCGTTCATTGACTCTTACCATCTTTTAAACATATGCTTGTCTAAAATCTAAGAAAACACCTTTTAGTATAAAATAAGTACTTAAGCAAAATGGAACCCATAGAGATATCCTGAGACCACCTGGCCCATTCTCTCTGTTGCATCCTACCAAGTCTGTGATTCCCATGAGTACATGTTTGTTTTTAAAAAACTCATAATCTGCCGCCAAGCATGGCAATAAATAATAGTTGACAAACATCAGGTGATCGTCTTCACTTGTGTCCAAGGTACCACTGATTCCACGAAGACAGCCTCTTCTCGGAAGCTAATGTTAGGAGTGAGTTTTCTGTCCCAGGCAGGAGACCGTGAAGAGGGGAAAGAATATGACAATAGTAATGACAGACCACAAAGCCAAGTCGGCCACTGCTGGGCTCCGTGAACCCGGGACTGGGACGGATGTGACCCTTTCGTCTTCACCCACCTTTCCTCCCTCCTGTCCACCACGGTTCCCCCTTTTCCCTCGCGTCCCCCATAAAGGACTCCGCACCATCCTTCCCTTCTGTCCCTCTATAGCCCCTCCTGCCTGTGTGAGATGCAGCGGTTGAGGTCACAGAGATGGCCGGGGGAGTAATCCTCTCCTTCTCTTTTTAAGCTCTGACCTTGAAGTGAGGGAGACCCCAGCACCTGCTACCGAGCGGCTGGGACCCGGCTGCCATGGCAACGGCGCGTCTCCGCGTCCTCCAATACAAGGGCAGGCGCAGTGAACGCGCGCAGGCGCAGACGGCAGCCTGTGGCTCCTCCGCCTCCCAGAAGCTCCTGCTTCTACGCGTCCACAGAGGACCCACCGTTCTGCGGTTTCCCTGGAGACGACCGCGGACTTCCGGCAGCACCCGCGGGTTGCCGGAGCTGTTAGGTGCGGGCCGAGGGCCGCTCGCCTCTCCTGGCTGTTTCTCCGCGGATACCCGTCTCTCGCCAGTGTTTGAAAGTTGTTGGAACATCTTCTACGTGTATGTTTCTGTGTGTTATTTTCTCGCTGTTCACGTCAGAAACTATTAATATTTTGTTTTCCCTAATACGTAAGCCAATTGCTAATTAGTTACCAGATTTGCGGCCCGAATTTAGATCGCGTTGACAAATGACAAGATATTAGGACGGTACACTCTCTGCCAGCAATAAATAAAAACGAGAAAGGAAAATATGTACTCGGTGCAATCCAGTTTTAAAATTATTAAAAAATTTTTTTCAATTTCTATCACTCGATTATAATAGAGCACCTTTTCTCCAAGGGGGGCAATGTAAAATTGAATTTTTAAGTACTATCCAAACTGTAAGCTAAGTTTAAAAAAAAAATGATTTAAGGTTAAAACGAATGACAGTAATGAGTGCACTCCCTAGCCGCAGTGTAGAACTTTTAGTTGTAACGACCTCATGTTTCTTGCAGGACTGTTTGAGACGACACACTTGAAAAAGGCAAAAATAAAAAAATATATATATATATATTTTTTACTACGGAAGGGCAAAGGACTTTTAGTCAAATCTCCTATGTTGAACGTGGAATTACTACCAAAGCTAGAGTAGACCTTAGGTTTCAGAACTCCTAGCTTAATAGTTTTTCCACTGTACAATCTGCAGTGATCACCTGAGCCACTAAAAAGGTTTATCTCACCATCATTCGTTTAAGAAGGCAGAGAAATGTTAGGACTTACTCCTAATCTCTGCATGAAGGAATGCACTTTAAAAGGAGATGAGTTTACACAGAACATAGGGTGGTGCACAAAGATGCATTTAGCTAAAAAAACAGGAGGAATCAATTAGGAAAATGTGACAATAAAAAGGGTTCTGAAAAGCGTCGGTGTCAGTGCTGACTTCCGAAGAATGACTTATGCAAGAGGGTAGGCAGGGCATTGTATGCAGACGCAGGTGACAGCGTTGGTGAAGGCATGGAAGCATTCGGTTTACCCCGGGATCTTCGGGTAATTCAGAATTGCGGGTTTAAAACATGTAAGGGCGCAGGGCGGGGGCGCGGTGGGGGAGGGAGGGGGTGGCCTAAAATGCAACTTATCGCTGATTGCATTTTAGCCTCTGAGATACCCCAAACACATCATGAAAACCACTGCAGTAAGACCTGTGAACAAATGTTCTCATTAAAAATCAGTACTACCCTTGGGCAAGTGTATCATCTATTCTGTACAGATACAGTATTTTTCATATTTTTGTGTTTGTTGAGATACTTATTTTGCAGACCTGCTCCATTATTTGAGGTTTATATGGGGGGGGGGAGTGTTGCAGAGTTTAAGCAGACGTTACGGAGAAATTCAAAGCTTACAGTGAAAGGAGGCAACCATTCAATTTCTATCAGCCAAGTATGTTCATCAGGGTCTTCAACCATGACCAGCCTGAGGTCTGAACAAGGAATGCAGAAGGATCATAGAAATACTGATCAGAATTATCTGGAAGTTGGCAACCATTTCCTTTTTTTAAAATTTACTCTTTTAAAAACCTAGCGTTTTGAATTCCTCTCCATTCACATTAATGGAAAAAAAAAAAAAAAGAGGAATTAGGACTACTACAAGATTACATTCCAGGCAAAGGAGACAATGTCCAGCAATGCCTTTTCCAAACTAGATCATGTTAAACAGATGTTGTTACTTATGAGAATGCCATGGTTAAGTAAAAGTTTCTATCATTGGAGCGCCATGCCTTGAATAAATCGCCCCATGGACTAGATTATTGGTAGGCATTTTAATCTCAAGGTTTTATGTTTTAAAAAATAATGGGCATTTAGCTATTGCACTGGCAGGTGGCTATATTGAGCCCATTACATATTTCTATAACTCAATATTCATATGGATGTGTTTTGCAAAAAAAGGCAAAAAAGTAAGACATGGTCTGTATGCCAAGGACATACAATCTGAAAGGCATGAAGATTCAGGGGATAAAACTACAGGAACAGAAAATTTTAAAAATCTTTTTTGCGTTAAAAGTTTCCAAGTCTTTGGCGATCATCAATGCAATGCCTTAATTAAGCAGGTTTTGGAAGAGGGTATTAAACGAAAGGTGCTTATTTGGATGGTGTGAGAAAAAATTGACTTGGTTTCCGGGATATGATGAACAAATGATTCTCGATTGATGGCAAGAAGATGCTTCCCTGGGTATCAGAATATTTGGGACTGGAACAAAAACAAGATGGTAGCTTCTGCCCTTGATTTGGTTTAATTTACTTTATTTTTAAAATTCAGTTAACATTAAAGGGAATGTGAGTTTTTCCAGTTTCTAAAAGGGAGAATGCCTTAAAAACAGAGGTGAGAAGTGTCAAGATGAAGATCGAGAGAAATGGACAGTGCAATGCAGTGCTAGAAAAAATTAGGAAAACAACAGAAATAAAGGGAAGAGCCAAAGGTAATGATCACAAAGCAATGGAAGAATGAACGGGATACAAGGTTAATTACCAAGGTCAGGTGAGGGGAAAGCTTAATATGAAATTTGTCTTAAGAGAAGTTATTAACTTAAAATAATTTTGATGAAAAGGGGAAATATACTGTAAAATATTTATTTAATAAAAATAATTTTATAATCTATACAGACTTGAATAAAAAGTACAACAAATTATTTCCACTTTGCAAAACTACGTACAGTACAACTTGCAACAGGGGTCAGCATTCTACAAATACAGCCACACACCAAGAAATGAACTTATTAGTGTCTTATGTAAAGGCTCCATTTGTGTGCCGCAAACTTCAATTTAAATTCCAGGGAAATGATGCTTTGGTAACATGAACAATTTGATTGCACCACAGTCCAGTTTGTGTTAAAAAATTAAATAAAACCCCTCAAATACCACTTTTCCATTTGTTTCTGAGTAAACAGTCCCCTATGTTGCAAAATAAAATAGAGTCTACTACTTTTATGACATCACGTTCCCTTCCTTTTCCCTTCCTTAGTTAGTATTTTTCCCTTCCCTCTACCTGAAAAGAGGTTGAATGGAAAATGACCAATTCTTACCCTATTCATTTACTTCTAGAGCTTCTGCTTAAACCAATAAATGTCAGTTTTGCAATCTTGACATTATTACTCACACTGTTTAGCTGTGTTATTCTAAAAAAAGTTAACACCCCTAACTGAAAACAGCTATCTAGATTCTTTTCAAGATAAGGCAACAAAGTTGGCTTTAAAATAGTTTTAAAATAGAAGGATAAAGCAAAAAGGGAAAAGGACTCGGGGACATGGCCAACAGTGTAGTGATTGCAGGGGGGGGGGGTGTGAGGGGACTAAATGGCAATGAAAAAAAATACAGTGAAGATTAAAGTTTAAAAATTTTTATGTCTCACATACTCTAGCAGCCACCTGGTAGACTGATTTGAGGATTAAATGTATATATAATAATGTGTTCAAGTACCTTGGAAATGGAATCACTAGCAGTTGTTATTTTAAGCAAACATTCAAGATGATCCACTCTTAGAAGCAAAGGCAGATTTAATGTACAAAATGCAGGAATCACATCTATCCTGGTTCCTGTCCCATTGAAATAATCAAAAAGAGGCTCAGTTTATGGAAAAGGCCTTGGAATAATCCAACTACTACTGACACCTTCATCTTGGATGAGGAGGATAAATATAAAAGCTCCAAATGGAGATGAAGTTATTTTTTTAAAAAAGACTTTTTCATTTTATTTTAGAAATAAAAGGGTATGTAAATACAGAGTGGGCCAGTTATATCTTTAGCCCATATTCTAACTTTTTGTCATGGAATTAACAGCCCTTCATACTGAAGAATAAAAGACGAGGAAGCCTATCTCACATTTTCTGATTAGGTCTCTTCGTTCAAATTATTAGCAGGCATCAAAACTCGCCTTATTTTCTAACTAAATGAGCTTCTCTGGGAAGCATATGAATAATGCAAACATGTACTTCTAACAAAAATCGACACAAATAACTGTCAAGATGGGAACTGAGAACATTCATATAATGAATTTTTAAAAAATAACTTACTAGAAATGACATACTCCTTATAGGACAGGACACCAAACCAGAGCAAATATTGCTTCTGATTAGAACAACTTTTGTCTGTAGAAACACAAATGCTCATGAGAAACACTAAATAAGAATTAAGTTGAACAGAGGCAGGTGCCGTTACAGCATATTTCTGTCTTGAGCTGTAACATGTCGTGGTCCCCAGGAAGCCCTGGTCCCCACGGGGCCCACTGGCTAATCAGAAAACAAGTACTTGACCTATGACACACCGAACTCACTTGCTATCGAGTGTACAACAGCATGTGCTGCTTGCTGGTAACTTGGTTTTCAAAATCAAGTTCCCTTTTCAGTCAGATAAAAGTCATCCTTAAATAATCCACAAAATAAGCTTCACTTCTGCTCCTCTGGACACTACTATGCTGCTCTAAGGAACACAGGTATCGTCAGTTGGCTGCTCTGAAGCCATGAAATGCACTCACAAATATATGTCTACACCTTAAGAAATTAAATACATCAAGAGGCTGTGGTTGTGCAGAGGTCTTGCTGTAAGGAGGAGCTTGTCCGCGGTACATTATGAAGTGGTTACTTGAGAACTTGGCGCTGGATCTTCCTGCTTCCTGTATTTCTTCATAATAGTGACTGTACCATTAGCCAGGAAAACCACAGCAATAAGTGCAAAATAACCAGCGTAGATCAGAAACTAAGGAGGGGAAAGAAGACATTTCTAGAATTACCAATTAAATGAGCTGTTTTATTACATGTACATAAACATACTTTAAAATTAAAAGTCATTCAGTTTCTCAATAAAAACTTCAAAAACTAGCGTGCTACGTCCCCGACTGGCTGTGTGACCCTGACTGAGACACTTAATCTTCGAGCCTTGGCTTCATTTACAAAATGGAATTCATAATGTTGCATTTTCCGCCTTACAGGGTTGTCTGGAAGGGAGGAGGTCATGCATGTGTTTGCTAGCACAATGCTCACGCGGTTAATACCACTGTTCCTATTTCTGCTGCTCCTGTCGGAGTCAGGGTCTCCACCCTCAAGCCGACAGATAGGTGCAATACCTGGGTATGGCTAACAGGCCAAGTTCTGAAGACCAAGAACTTCAATTCTCCCCTAGAAGAGGGCAGGAGAAGGTCAACTACAAAGGTGGGGCAAAAATAGGTTTACAGTTGTTTGTACGGAAAAACACAATAACTAATAAATAACAGTACAAGAATAAACTGTGTTTCTAGTACTTACAACTATAAACCTACTTTCACCCCACCCTGTGTATTCCATTATAGGATTACTTTTTACATAGATCTCCTCTAAGCCAACTTTTTAAGGTGACTATATAGTTTATCAACAACATCACTGCCATATTCTTTTTAAAATAACTTATTAGATACTTATAAGCTGGTTCATGGGTTCCGTAAGAGAATAAGCTCTAAGTCTTTGAGCCGTTTTTAAAAACTCGAGACATTTTCCTGTATGAAGCCTGTTAATTAATCATGGCGGTCAGAGCTTCAGCACAGCCCACAACGTCCTGTCGTCCCATGCTCAAGCCTGTGATTTTTATAGCAGGCGACAGGCACTTAAGTTTCTCTTCCGCCCTCTGTCCCGAATGTAAGCACCTAGTTCCTGAGAGGTCTTCTCAAGGTTTTTAGTGCCCGCGGTCATTGGGAAACTTTCCTAGAAAGTAGTAGGCCCCCACTCCCCCACCTCCACCTTTCTGAGACAGCGAGATGCAGTGGGAGACGAGTGGCCTTCGGTGTTAGACGCCAGTTTAAACCCCCGCTCTGCCACACTTGCCGGCTCTGTGATCTCACCATTACCTAACTCTCAGATTCATTTTCTTTATGTCTAATCCTGACAACTCCACAAAATTCTATATAAAGTACCTGGCACATAGAAAGTACTCAGTGCACTTTACCTATTATTGTCTCTTTTAGATCTTGTTGGTAAAAACAAAGTTAATTACTGCTGATGTGTTGGGTCTTTGTTTTCTAAGAAAACAAATACGTAAGTACAAAGGGAATAATGGAGAAGCAATCACTGGGCCTCGGATGGGGGCGTGGTGGGCACCTGATCCAACTGCCCATTTTGTCAAAGTCCAGAGCAAACCCTACCTATAAACACAATGCATAAGACATATGCAACCATACGATTCCTCAAGAAGAAAAGTATTCACAAAATCTGGGGTGTTTGTGCAGGTGTTTTCTCAAAAGGTCATGTGTTAAGAATCATAATGCTATTCATCACAGCAAGTCATCACCTTGGTATCCGGGTGAGGGGGATGTTAAATAAAGAAGGGAGGAGACCTAGCCGTGAGGTAAAGCAAGGCCTCCTCAGAAAGGATTGCCCCAACATGCTCTAGGCAGCAAAGAGCCATGGGTGGCAGGTGGCTGACAGTAGGGGACACTGTTACTTTTTATTTTATATCTGTCTATACCGTTTGAATTTATTTTTCTTAGGCATGCTCCATTCCACCACCCTGATCAAATCTTTACACCTCCAGGGCGGAAGCAGACCTCACCTGAGTAGTAATCTCTAAGCCGAGGCCACTGGCATCAACCACGATGAGCGTGAGCACCGTCTGCAGGGCCAGAGCAATGAAGGTGTTCACACCGAACACCAGAGCGTAGCGCTCCATGCTCAGGTTGGCGGCTATCTGGAAACTTAAATAAAGGAGGAAGAAGGAATAAACAGGAAGTTACAATTTCTACTGTAAATCAGAAGGGTACCCCCTTCTTTCTACTGTTAATTCCCTTCCCAACCAAGTGAAAAGTATTTTGTTGCTAAACAATGTAAATCTCAAGCAAACATCTGGAAATAGCAGGAACATGTGAACAAGGAAATAAATGAACCTTGCCTAAACGCTTGCTCAGGAGAAAACGAACAACACAGCGCTTCTTCCAATTGGCCTCTTTTAACTAGAAATTTTAACTTCTTTGTAAAGAAACCAAAAGGTCTATCCTAGCACAAATTTTCCTAATAATTCCTTGAGTAAAACACATACGTTGCTACAGTGATGAGTAACGTGTAGATGATTCTGAAGACAACATAGGACGTGTAGCACACCCAAATGTTCCCCACAGTGTCCATGGTGTACACTGCGGCCGCAATCAGGAGAGAGAACAGGGACAGCGTCATTTCTCCCCAAGTGGACCAGGGTATTTTTACATAACCAACTGCAAAAACGGCAACAGCACCTACCAAACAAAAGGAGGAAAGTAATCTAGTTATTTTACTAAATAAACTCTATTTTTAAAATATTTAAAAATTCAGCTTAGATTATTACATTTTAAAAGCTGTGAATTTATAAAGGGGGTAGTTCAAGACTACCTGGCCGGCCCCCCGTTGTACAGTGGTTCTCTGGGATGTTGCCGTGCTTACCCAGCAGAGTGGACACGGCCTCCACGCCTCCGTTGTAGACAGCAGCGCGGCGAGAAGGCAGCACCTGCTCCCACAGGCCCTGTGTGTAGTTGATGACCTGGAAGTAGCCACAGGTGGAGAGCGCCCACCACACTGACCAGCAGAGCAGAGGGCGGGAGGAGTAGCACACCAAGAAGTCCTTCCACAGTACCTTCAGCACCAGGAGACGGTCTGCCCGGGGCTCCTACACAGCCAAAGGGAAGGAAGCTCAACCGCCATGGAGGCAACTGGACAGGAAGCAATTGTCTAGACTCAGTTTTCTATTTAACAAATATTACTCTTCTGCCTTGTGAACATATATATGCAGGGTGAGGCAAAAGTAGGTTTACAGTTTGTATGGCAAATTATACAATAATAAATAATACAAAGGTAAACTCTGTGTTTTGCATACTCACAACTGTAAATCTACTTTTGCCCCACCCTGTATTAGATATGTCTTAGCCATTATATTTATCTTCTCAGGGAAAAATAAACATATTTCCATACAACTTTTGCTTTAAATTCTCTATGAACACTAGCACAGCTGTACAGTCACCCAGCAAAGGATGTACTGTTTACAAAGTGAGGGTAGAAAGATGGTCAGAAATTGCATACTTCAGCCCAAAGGAGGTGACATTCCACATCTCCCACACAGTGGCAAGTGGCGTTAAGAATCAGCAGTTATTAGTAACTATTAAATCAATGTTCAGTTAAGAGTCCCTCAGTGAGAACCTGCTATCCTCATTACTGACAGCCTCGTTGAACAGTAATGGTTAAGGTAAAAATCTTAGAAACAGGCCAAAATGTTAGCAACTGTTCTCCTTGGGTAGTGGGGCAATTCGTGATTTTTAATTTTTTTCCTTATACATTTTCTATTAATATTTATAGGAAATATTACTATTATAATGGGTAATAAAACTACTGTGCTTATAACTGAGTGCATCAAGACATTCCTGAGCTCTGCGCCACCCTAGACTATGCCAGGGAGTTGGCACCCCGCCCCAGACACCCTGTGAGGAGCCTCCGCGTCCAGTTATGTCAAGGGGCTCATCCGGCAAAGGGCGCCATGACTACTGAGCCTTGGTCAGAGCGCAGGAGGTTCCACTTTTGTGGTGGACACGGACGGAAAGGCAACATGAGAGAAGCCACAGGGACCACGGGGCCGCTGACCAGGATGCGGCACATAGGAGCCAGGATGTGCTACGGGAGCCATGTGGCAGCAGCCTGCTCCAGCCCGCCCCCCCGCCCCCCCGCTGGCGGGAGGCCCAACGTCCTGCATCAGGACCTCCAGATACAGAAACATTACTTCCTCCTGCTGTCAGCCCCTCCACCTTACAGATTTTAACTGAGGTATAATTTACCTGTAACGTAACAGTGTCAGGTATACATGGTTCCATACTTTTGTATGTTGCAAAATGATCACCACAATAAGCCTAGTTAACATCTGTCACCACACAGTTACAAACTTTTTAAGATCCCTTTTCTTAGCAACTTTCAAATATGCAATACAATATTATTAACTATGGTCATCACATTGTATATTGCATCCTCGGGACTGATTTATTTTATAACTGCAAGTTCCTACCTTTTGACCCCCTTTATACATTTCTCCTACCACCCAATCCCCACCTCTAGCAACTACCAATCTGTTCTCTGTATTTATGAGCTCGTGGTTTTGTGTTTTGTTTTTAGATTTCAAATATAAGTGAAATCATATGGTAGTTGTCTTCCTCTTTTTTACTTCACTTAGCATAAAACCTTCAAAGCCCACCCATGTTGTTGCAAATGGCAAGAATTCATTCTTTTTTATGGCTGAATAATACTTCATTTTAAGTGTACGCACCATGTTTTCTTTATTCATTCACCCATCAATGGACACTTAGGTTGTTTCCATATCATGACTACTGTAAATAATGCTGCAATGAACGTGTGGGGGCAGATTGTGTTTCAGTGAGTGTTTTTGTCGTCTTCAGGTCAATCTCTGCGGTGGAATTGCTGGGTCACATGGCTGCTCTGTAGAACCTCCACGCCATTTTCCATGGCGGCTGCACCCATTCACGTTCCTACCAGCAGCGGCCGAGGGTCTCCTTCTCTCCACATCCTTGCCGGTATCTGCGATTCCCTGTCTCTTTGAGAACAGCCACTCTAACAGGCTCAAGTGGTATCTATTGTGGTTTTGATTTTCATTTCCTTGGTGATTAGAAATGTTGAGCATCTCTTCATGTATCTGTTGTCCATCTTTATGTCTTCTCTGTAAAATTGTCTGTTCAGATCTTTTCCCCATTTCTTAATTGGATTTTTTTTTTGCTATTGAGTTGTATTAGTTCTTCATGTATTTTTGCATATGAACCTGTTGTCAGATATATGATTTGCAAATATTTTCTCCTATTTAGTAGACTGCCTTTTCATTTTGTTGATTGTTTCCCTTGCTGTGCAGCTTTTATAGTTTGGTGTAGCTCCACTTATTTTTGCTGTTGTTGCTTTTGCTTTTGGTGTCAGGTTCAAAAAAATTTTGAACCTGACCAGTGCCAGGGATCTTCCTGCCTATGTTTTCTTCTAAGAGTTTTATGGTTTCAGTTCTTACAGTCAGGTCTCAATCCAGTTCGAGTATATTTTGTGTAGCCTCTTCTCCTTTAAATAGGGTCTTTAAAAGGTACAGTTACATGTTTACAATACCAAGTTAAATTCCACTCTTTACTTAGCTCAGTTGTGTGCAAAGGGAGATTTATCTACAGTCAAACCAATGGCTACGATGGAAATTTTTGAGAGTAAGTTGGACCAACTTATTATTTGTCAAAATATGGTTCTATCACCTAGGACTGTACTTTATTCTGATTTTCCTGGCTGGTCCCTTACTGTCACTCAGGTCTCACTCAGACATTAGCTTTCCATAAAACTATGCAATACTCTTAGCAATCATTGCTTCTCCATACCACAATCACTCAGTAGCCCATTATCCTGTCTATTTTGACTCCTACTCCACTTTCCCTTTCTATAAAATCAAGATCAAACCACCTACCTGCCTACATACTCTTTTCTACCATTATTACTACAAGTAGGATTCATGGTTCAATTATGGGCTTTGTCAGCGCAAAATGGCGCTGTAATCTCCAATACCCATATTCCGACATTCCTTCAAGCTTGTCAAAGAAAAACGTCAGTGTTTTAGGGCCTCCAGCGGCCAGGCGGCACCACTCGCCTGTTACAGTGTGAGCAGCAGAGCCAAGAATGTCACGGAGCTGACTTGAATCCTGATTTTTACTGCACTGTAGCCAGTGTGATGCTTCTGACCATGCCGCCACCCCAGTGGAAAACTTCACAGAGCAAAGTGGAGACTCAAGTGAACCTCACATATACTCTTAAATTATGTCTGGGAGTATGTTTGTGTAGTTCTGCACAAGTCACTGTCTCTGGTCCCAATCCTTAAGATGGGGAGGAGATCTAAAGTTCCTGTAACTTTAAGATGCTACGATTGTTCTATGACCTGTGGTGAGAATCACTTCTAGCTCTAAAATTTTGTAATCATTCAGCATGTCAAGTACTGGCATTTTGCATATCTATGAGCAGCAAATATCATGTTCCTCAATGACAATAGGTTTCAAATCATTAGTTGACTTTAGGTTTCACCTCATTAGTAGGCAATAAAAACCAACGTAGTGGGAGATGATTGCATTATAAAAAACAAAAAAGAATGACTCGAGATAAAATATTGTGTTGTAAAAACCTCTGTTTCAGTTATACATAAAAAATATATATGGGTATAAAGTACACATATACACACACCCCTGTGTACTGGTTGCTATATAAAATGCTCCTAAGTAGTTTTCTATTCACATTCAAAAAAGTTTAAAACTCACAGGTCTATAAAATCTTCAGAACTATGGCCGGTATGTTAATATTTAAAAATATATTTTTATAGTTACGCATATACATACTAATCTTAGCTAAAGCCATTTTAACACATTTAAAACAGATTTTTAGAAACAGCTCTTATTCTTATTTTTCTATTACATGAGATCAAATGATTATTCATACTTCTTTCTATCCTTTATCAACCCTTTGTTGACTCTCCAACATCACCTAACGAACTATGAAGGAATCAGCATTTTGTTTCTACTTAGTCCCTGGTAACTTTGACTGAAGCTTCCCACATGTGCCCTAATTATCAAAGTGAGTTTCCTGGTTCAGTGTCACCCAGGCTCTCCAGGGCGTCCCAAGCTCTTCAGGATGATAACCTAAATTTCAACTGGTCACCAGAGGTGAAGAATGAGGGTAGGCAGAAGAGGAATTTTCAGTAAGGACATGAGATGCCACATTGAAACGACATGGGTTAACTCCAGGTGGGAGAGCCAGGCTCTATTCCTGTGGGTCCCTCCCCGACCAGCCTACAAAGCTTACAGAGCTTGGCTGCGTGTCTGGGAGCTTGGCTGCGTGTCTGGCAGAGCCCGTCTACAAAGCTGGAATGTTAACAGGCTCATCTCCAGACATGTCCCAGGACAGCAGGACTTTTTGAATTCAGTATATTTGGAATGAATCTTGCCCCTCACAGCTTTTAACCTGATAGGAAGATAACAAGATTTAAAAAAAAAAAAAAAAAAAAAAAAAAAAAAAAAGGCGGGGTGGTGGGGGAGGCAGCCACCTTTTTCGGCTGGAGAGAGTGGATGGATGAATTATTTTGATGCCATGCCTGCCTTCTAAGAGACAATTTCATAGTCACACTTCTAATATTTATTTCACCTTCTTAAATATTCCTTTTGATTCTCTTCTGTATTACCCATTACTATCTCACTTTGGCGAAGTATTTGAAATTCACATCAAGATGTTACCAGCACCGAAGAGAAAGATAACTCCTATCCTTATATACTTTGGGCTTCAATTCAGAAACTGGAAGTAGGTACTCGTCATTTGTTGGAATCACTCCATCTATTCATTAAGCAAAAATTTCCTGAGTGCTTTATTTACATGCCAAGCTCTGGGGCTCGACAGATGAAGGGGAGACAGCCCTTGCTGCGGCTTCTAAGACGCCTCTGCCACAAGCAGTAGAATGCCGTGCCAGTCTGACCTTGAAGGCCATTCACTCCAGGGGAAATGCAGCTGTCATCCCTAATTAAAATCAGCCTTATTCTGAAACAATGAATGAATGAACAAACGAACCAACCAACTCAGGAGAAAACCTGAATCCACATGATACAAGGTCCTGCATGCAAGGAGGGGTTTCCTGCCTGGTCTGTGTTTTCACTGTGAGCCTGGCCCCCAGAATTTCAAGTGTGAGACATTTAAGGCTGCACTTACCGGTTCCTCCATGGGAGGCTCCTCCGCATGTAGGGGGATTTTTGACTCAACATCCTCCCACCCGGGAAGGTGGTGAGAAGCTGAGGTATCAGTAACAATGCCACTGTTTTGTACCTTGACGCCATTCACTCCTAGGCAGGTGGGATGAACGTGGTGAAAGAAAAGGCTCTTCTGTGGCATAGGCAGAAACCAGGCCACGGCAAAAGCCACAGAAACACAGGTAAGAGAGATGACATTCAGGCTGAACAGGGACCAGCCTGCCACGGAGACGAGGACCTGCCCAACGACAGAGCCCACTGTGAAGCCCACCAAAGTGGCAGTTCGACTGTAACTTGTGACTTTCTGGTACCTGCTCAGGTCTACCACACTGTAGATGTACGAGTAATAGGCGACCTCCGTGGCTGTGGCGATGCCAAAGAAGAATTCCGAGAACTGAATGGCCAGCAGCCCCTGGGCGTAGAGCAGCATGAAGCACGTGACGATCAGGCTGAGCCCCTGCAGCAGGACAACGGGTTTGTAGCGGAGGTAGTCCGTGGCGAGGAACACGGGGAACAGCAGCGCCAGGTACGAGTAGGTCCACACCGGATAGATTTCATTGAAGACCTGACAGGAAAAGAAGGATAAAAACCCATTAGCAATATCAAAGGGCCTGGAATGTTCAAGACAACTTATCCTTATTCTAAAACAACCTACGGACACCTCGACTACCTCACCTTATCGACCAACGAAATCAAGACAACTGTTCTGGCGGCCGTTTGGACTACACTTCCGCACTTCCAGTCCATCGCCTTTTTCTTAAAACCCTCCCCATTCACTGAGGCCTCATTCATAGGCATCCCCATCCTGGAAGACAGCCAGAGCTTCCAGTCTTTGTACCACAACATTCACAGCTCTCTTTTCTTTTTTAATTTATTTTTTAAGTTTATTTTTTATTGTATTATTTTCACCACGATTTGTTCCCCCGTATCCTCTTCCACCTCCACCCAACTCCCTTCCCCACTGTCATCACCACTCTGTTGTCTGTATCCGGGAGTGATTTTTTTTGACTCGACCCCTCCCCCGCACCCCGACAGCCTCCTCCCCGCAGAGCTGTCAGCCTGCTCCCTTGCGCTCGCTTTTGTCGGCGGCGTCATCTCCCCAGTTACTTCACAGCACTGGTGCTCAGCCACGGTTGCACGTTTCCCAAGGAGCTTTAAAAATTCCAAATGCCTAGCCATAGGCATTTTTTTTAGAACCCTCCCCATGAGCCAGAGCTGAGAACCATTGCCTTACGTTCTTTAAGGGTGACTCATCTGCACAACCTAATAGGCAGCGTACTGTTTAGGAGATACTTGGCTCAATGAATGCCTTGGAAACAAATGTTTGGGAATCTTCCTCAATTCTTTCTTCTAGCCACAGGATAGGGAGCCTTGCTCCTACTGCTTCACTGATTAGAGCTGATTTAATTTCTCTGATTTTAAGTTTCATTTCTTTGGGAGCGCAGGAAAAAATGGTAAATCTGTTTACAGTCTTGACAGAATATCTGTGGATGGTAGGATTATGGGCAATTTCTATGTCCTTCATTTTGCTTGAAAAAATAGCCGTGTTGGCTATTTTCTTTTTAATGTATTTTTAAAATTGAGATATAATAAAAATAATCTTTAAGCTTTAAACCATTAAGACCTCAGCCAGAATTTAACGTTCATCGTTCACTGTGTGATCCTAAGTTTGAGTTCTCCTTAGACTTAATCTCCATTATCAGCAAAAGAGGGGTAAGACCTAAACCAGTGGGTTATTCGTTGTAAAGATCAAATGAGAGAATACGTGTAAACCACTTACTCCACCTTACTCATAGGTCTGAAGATTGGAGGACTGAAGCAAACACACAGACCACTTGGAACAATGTGAATTAGCTAAATTAATTGAACTGTCATCCCCATTTTTGCAATAACAGTCCTTGCAGGGGACTTTTCCCTCCTCCTGTATGTGCCCAATGTCTAGCAAGGTCTAGAGCAGTTAGTTTTTAAATATCATTTCAAATTCTGCACCAGTGGCCCCAATTTTTAAGCGCTTCTGAAGGGTCATCTTGGTAACAAGCTAAACACTTTGCAACAGAGCACTGTAATCCTTGGCTTTGTCCAAGGGTGACTTTCTTTTTAACTCTTCTGTATACCACAGTCCACCCAGGTATAAAATGGGCTAATTGATTTAGGGTTTTAGAGGAACAATAAAGTAAACAATTACTGTAAAATTTTTTGCCAGTGCAGAGCACAACTAAAAAAGTAAAACATAATCCCAGACTGCATTTGTTTCTGACTGGCCGAACCAGAAGTGACTTGTCCAATAACCTCACCTTCATGAATTTTGTTCTGATTTGTGTTTGTAAGTCACTTAACAACCTCCACTGATCAGGAAATGTTCCTGCACCCGAACATGTGCATGAAAGAATAATCAAGAACTGTAAAAATGATTCTTATTCAAAAGTGTGGAAGCTGTAGCAAACAAGCAACAAAGCACAAGTGGCTGCTTACCCTCAGTGTAAAATAACCTCTCCGCAGAAAACCACGCGGTCAAGGGCACAGGGAGATGAAGGCTGGCTAGAGCGAAGGCTTCTCTCCAGACTTCCATAGCTATACTCCATCAACAACTCCCCCTCCTTTTTATGCCTCTAGTTTTACAGCTCCTCTCCTCTACTTCCTTGGGTCTGAAAGTGCCTCCTTGGTCTGACTCAGCATGCCCACTTCCCCGGCACGTTCTTCCAACACAGCACCACGAATTGGTCTGGGCCATCGCAGCTTTCTTCTAAAATACCCTCCACGGCGTCCCTCAACATCCTACCTTCTTTTGTTTTCCACCACATGCCTTTGGACTTGGACTTCTTCACTCTAGTAAGATCTAATACTGAAACATGCTATAGCCCTTTCAATAATAGTTGTCCCAAATTACAAACTGCTAAATGTGTATTACACAAATCTCATCTTTGTAATTACCAATTTAAAGTGTTTATACTTTTGAGTCTGCTCCTACTCCTAACACAAATCCACAACATAGATAATGAAGATGAGGAAAAGTAACATGGCCAGATCTGCAATGCCAAATAGAAATAAAAACAAAAGGCAGGTGGGAGCAGGTGGGGAGGTTGGGGAAGAAAACCAGATGACTTCTCTTTAACTTACTCTAAATACCTTACTCTACGTGAGAGGATTGACCCAACATGAATGCCCGTCTCCCGGGACGGCCAGCAATGTAACAGCAAATCTCTGCAGAGGAGCTGTACACCGTGCTATTCACCTCGCCCTACATGACCCCATTTAATCCAAACAACAGCCCTAAGAGGGAAATGCTTGTCATCCCTATTTCACAGCTGACGAACCTCAGCCTCAGAGAAGGCTAAGTAAACCGCGTCGAGTTACCGCAGCTAAAAACTGGCAGGGGAAGAACTGAACCCAGGTATTCTGAATCCACCGCACTTCGGTGCCTCCTCTCTTCAATCACCAGTCTGTTATGGGTCATGGGCCATGTTCCAGGGTTACTTCTAATGCCTGCGGCAGCCTTTTCCACCTGCACTAAGGAGCTTTAACAGGGCACTCGTGAAGACATAAAGACAGATCTCCAGAGGTTAGCCACCGCGTCTCCCAAAGGAGCCTTCTCTGTCAGTGCCTCCCAGGAGAAGCTGTCACACCGGAAAACACTTCTGTGATGGATACTTCCAATCTTGAAGGGAAACTTCTTCCATGCAAAAATGGACAAGGTACAGCCTGCTGTCCAGACCCTGGACAGCACCTTATCTTAGGTAAAATCTGCCATGTGGGCCAAAGCAGCTGATTTTACCCTAAGGCACCTCTCACAGGTCTTTGGATCAGAGCTTGTGGGTGCTTTCTTCTGAGATTAAAAAAAAAAAAAAAGTGAAGGGGAAACACATTGGTTTTAATTTCTAATTCACATTCAGGCTTTATTTCAGAATCAAGATGCAATTAAATAAGTGGTTAATAAGCACTTATTCGCATAACACTGTTTTCAAGCAGTATGGAGGGGCAGGGGATGGGGGGAGAACCTACATACATTACTGGCCAGGGAGGCAGGAAAAATAGGTGGCTCCTGTGAGATGAGCCCTGAAGGACGAGGAAGCTGGAGGCCACAGAGACATCACCAGATGTGCAGGGGAGGCTGCTCCCAGCTGAGGCCTCACCTTTGCACACGGGCCAGTAGCTGAGACTGTGGACACGTGGGGCTTAGGGCTGTAAGGTGCATGTAGAGGGAGCTTGGGCATATGGACGAGCGGAGAGGAAGAAGGGTGTAGGCGGTGGGTGGCCAGGCGGTTAAGGAGGTAAGGGCCAAACTCTACGAGGCTCTGAGTATCAGGCAGAGCAGGTGGAATGTTTTTTAAGAAAATCAAAGAAAAGTACAGAATGCCTGTCAAATCATTTGCTAAAAAAGATGGAAAGATAAAAAACGACCTTGGAGATAAAGAGCTCTATTTTATTAAATGTTTGGCTTTCCGCTATTGGAATATAGTCAAATTTTAACCTGTTGAAAACTTATAAAGTAGCACCTAAAAGAGGTTAACATTTTTCCTGAATCTAAGAAAAAAATCCTTTGAGAGTCTGTCCATCCTTTCCTCCTTTTGTCTTTGGGCATGGTTAACAGTAGCTCTATTTAAGACGATCCAACTTGGCCCTTCTGAAGTCTTCTAAGGGTAAGTATAAATTTCAACGCAAGTATATATCACTGGCCTTGATTAAACATTCACTTTCCCTAAAAATCATCTCATATTTTTTATTTCACCATCCATTGGTGAAAGCACACACTCAGCCAGGTAGAAGCACAAATCATTCTGTTTATTTCAATTATTAGATTATTTTTTAAAATCTAGGGTTCCAGAGAGGGTGAACAGACACACACCGCACAGCCCACAGACTCAGCCCCGACTCCAGAAGCCTCCGAGAGGAGTGACCCTCCCTTCCCTTCAAGCACTGCCCTCTTGCTCGTCTAATCTGCACAGCGGGAGTGTGCTCTGTTTTTATTGCACAACCAGCCAGTGTTTCCTGGGCCTGGCATCCCTGCCTTATTCCTGTGTCCCCTGCACATACGTCACTCACCCTCAAAAGCTTTCTGCAATGGGACATCCCACAGCAACTCTGCCCACGGCACGGGACAGAGCAGATCAGCTTTCAAATATCAACACTGGGAGAATGTTTCTCCCCCTTACGCTCCTCAGTCAGGTGAGGTGCACACACTGATCACATGGCAGTTCACATGAAACTTTCATCGCCGGCAGCTCCGCAGCAGTATCATTTCAGCCTCAGTGGCTACACCTCCGAGCCAGTGTTGTGTTGGGTGTCCAGGATCATTCTCGTAATTTACTACAGTAATTTTCTTCTTGTAAAATCATTCTGTTTACAAGAGTTGGCCCTTTCCATTTAATGACCAATATTAAAATTTAAATACGTAATGAATAACTGTTACCGTCTTTTGTGGAGTGGGGCATAAGACTGAGAAATAGAAGATCCAAAGTTGGGTAAAAGTCACCAATTTACTTGCTAGAGGTGAGACCATATGAGAAACTCAAATCAAACCCTCAATCCAGGATTTGACACCCAACTTCCAACTCCCTATTAAGTGACCTTGAAAAGGGAGGAGCCATTTCAAACCAAGTGGGATATGAGTAATTACACTCTGCCCTGACCTGTTGTGCAGGGACACTGAGAAATGGGTGACTAATCACAGAGAGAAGAGTAGGGTTGAGACAGGAGGAGTATTTCACCACAGCCAGGAGGAACAGCGAGCACGAGAGAACAGGGCCGGCTAACAAGTGCCCACTCGGCTTTCACCCTTTGCACTGTTTCAGAAAAGAGCAGCAGACCTGGGCTTTCTGGCTTTCAGGTGTTCAAGGAACAGGATGTCGAACTTCCCTTATTTTGGTTTTGTGGGAGCACCCTGAGTTTAGTTCCTTTTTCAATCAATATAATGTCTTTCTTCTTCAGAAACAAAGTGTTGGGACTGACCATAAGCTTTAAGAGTTAAACATATTTTCAAAGAACACTGTGCGCTTCTGAAGTCCTCCTAAACCCTCATCTGGGGAAATCAACCAGCGAGGAGTTCTTGATCACGGACGATGGGTGCTCCATCACTCTGAACACCACAGAGGGGCAGAGGCTTTGCAAGATCTCACCACGTGGTTGAGCAAAACTAACAGCTGCAAAGCAACGATTCACAACGCAAGAAAAACTGTAATTAGATGCCAACCCCGTGATAACATCTAAGTTTCTGCTTTTACCCCAGGAGGTGGGATGGGGGTGGGGGCGAATATCCCTGGACACAGCCTTATCCAACTAAGAATCAAGCCAAAAGAACAGGATGGGTTCTTGTCCTGTAATGTCCTTCTTTGAGCACATCCATCTCGTCAAAGGTAAACAAAGTAAGGTGTGAGAAGAAAGGGAGTCCAGTGGGGCAGGCGGGGGTGGGAGGGCCCTTTCAGAAAAGCAGGGGTTACTCAGCATCTGGTTCCCTATTTTCAATCAATAAAATTTACTAAACCTTTTCCATGTCTAAAGTAAAGCTTACTGTTTACATTTTTTCTTTATCCCAAAGCATCCCCCGTTTCCCCCTGCCTTCGCCCGGCCGCCAGCAGGGACTGCGGGACCTGCCGGGGCAGAGTGGGGCTAAGCTCCGCGACAACCTCGTCACCCTGGGGCCCGGGAGCACCGGGACTCCGGGCCCGCGTTCGAGCCCCGGGTAGAAAGGGCGAGCCGTAAACCCACCGGACAGAAACACAGCCTGAACTCACGCAGCGCAGCAAGGGAACACCTTCCCACCGCGAAAAGCCACAAATCGGCCCAGCAGGGCTCCCGCGCGGCTCCCTGCCCTCCCCCGCCTTTCCTCCACCGCGTCCCCGCCGCACGCTGGCCGCCGGTTCCGGCGCTGCCGGGCCCGCCCGCCACGCGTACCTCCCGCTCCGTCAGGTTCTTGTCGGGCCCCAGCAGGTACGGAGTCAGGAAGGGCTCGGACGGCCTGAGGTTGGCAAAGAAGCCATAGAAGCAGAGCAGCGAGGTGGGCAAGAACCAGCCCTCGCGGGGGACCCGAGCCGTGCGCAGGAGCATGGTGGCCGCCGCCGCCCGTCGGGACACCGGGCCGGGAACATCCATCCGGGGTGCGAGGATCGGGGACCCGGCCCGGTCCCTTCCTCCTCCTTCTCCTCCTCCGCCAACTGGAGTTAGGTTCAAATGTGGCCCCAGAGCCCACACCTGTCACCCCTCGTGGCGCCTCCTCCAGGTACGACTCTGCGGTTCAGGGAGGTTCGTCAGCCTCCTCCGCCAAGCGCCTCAGGACTTGAGGCTCTACGCGCTGCGGAAGGGAGGGGGGCACGCCCAAAGACCCACCCTCTGCCAACGCCTTCAGGCTGAGGACCAATCACAGGAGACGTCGGGGTATGGCTTCTCTCCTCCATTGGTCGCTGGCGGCGCACGAGGCTGCCGACGTCGCGGGCTGAAACCCAGAGGACGTGCGTAGGGCTTGCTCCGAAAGTCCTTGCCGCCGGTGGCGCGGGCTGGTTGGGCGGACAGTCGTCGACGTGCTGCCGCCGTGGGCTCGCTTACTGCCACAGCCCACCTGTGAGAGATGCTCCGAGTGGGTCTCATCCTCGCCGAAAGGAAGGCGCCCCCGCCTCTCATTCTCAGTCGCCGTCCCTCTGGACGTCCATTCAGATCCTCCTTCCCCAGAGACTTAGTGGGCAAGGCCGGACATTGATTAACTTTGGGGCAGGGGTTGCTTAACCTATCCTGCGGCAGCTTTCCTGGTTTAAATTGTCCCGCTGCCACAGAAAGGCTCCCGAAACCCCGGAGCGTTTACTAAAAGACCTAACAGGAGAAAACAAAGTGAACTATTGTGAGGAGCGGGAGCCAGCTAATCCCTTAACAGAAAGACCTTAATGGAGGACCAGTTAAAGGTATTTAGCTCCATGTTGTCACTCTTTGCAAGCAGGATACAAAGAGAACACGTAACTGCCTGTGTATAGCCTGTGTTTAAAAGGAAAATTTGAATCAGTGAAGCAACCGTGAAATACCACCTATATGTTCATTTAAAAAAAAAAAAAAAAAAAAGGACTTGGCATCGTTTTCAAGGGCAAAGCAGCTCCAGTTCTTTCATGTCTCTGTAAAGTCTCTTTCTGCCTGAGGCACAGCCTGACTCCTTCCCAGTCCGTCCACTGCAGACCAAGCTGCAGCACTTAAAGCAATTTTCTCAGCGCAGGATTTGCAGAGTAACAACAGATCCTGCCAGAAGCTCACAGAAAACATTTTTGAATTCTGTTTGGCTTCATTGTATGCCATAATCCGATCTAGCTCAATTTTTCTCCTTCATAAGCCAATGACACTTTTTGCAGAAAGGGTACTTTTGGAAACCAGTCACAAAAAAGAAGTCTCCCACCCAGAAGAAGTATAAGGAGAGAAGATTTGTTTCTAAGGCTCTACAAGTGAATGCACTAAAATGCACAAATTGATTACTCTCTGAAGAAATGCAATTGTTGGTATTCACATCTGTCAGTGAGTCTCAAAGGGTGGTCTAGAAGGCCCTAGGGGTTCTTCGGGACATTTTCAGAGTTGCTGGAAAGTCATAATTCTAAGACTTTCCTTCTCCGTTCTAGAGACCATGTGATGTGTGATGATAGCGTTATCACTCAAGGCTAAGAGAATGTATGCTTGTACATTTCTGTGTGTAAAAACTTTCCAGATTTAATCTCTAATATGGCACTTATCAATAGATATAACCCACAAAAACGAAGTCTTTAGGGTCCTCAAAATTAGGAGTCTTAAAACTAAAAAGTGAGAACTCCTAACATACATAATATAATCATGTAGTTCCCTCGCCATGGCTACAGAGAGAACCCCAGCCGTCCTCTTGGCAAGTGCTTCGCATTAACATTCAGTGCTTTAGCGAAGGAGAAGAAACAAAAAGAAAATCAGGACAGGCCTCAGAAAGAGAAGACCACATACTGCCCCTTGCCTGTGGCCTGCAGCCCTGAATTGTGTTAATCCCTGGTTCTCAACCTTTTCCTTGGCATGAATCACTTAGGCACCTCAAATGTTCTTTACAATGTTGGGCATTAACAAATAATTGCTCTTGAATTGGGTAAAAACTGTTTTTTACTATTTTCCTCTAAGAGTTCAAGGTGGGCAGAATTCTAAGAATGACCCTTGCCCTTGTATAATCCCCCTTCGTGTGGGGGGTGAACCCAATTTGATAAGATAATACAACTGTGACGGCTAATGTATGGCAAAAGTGAGAATATCCAGGTGGACTATCTAATAACACCAGCCCTTTGAAAGCAGTGAATTTCCTTCTGCTGATAGCAGAAGAAGAAGTTAGAGACGTTTGAAGAAAGACTTGGGGTGCTGGTGCTGGAGGGGGCCGTGTGCCAAGGATGTTGGCACCCTGTAGCAGTGGGCACTGGCTCTTGGCGGATAGGAATCGGGGACTTCAGTCCTACAGTCACAAGGAACTGAATTCTGCTAACAGCCTAAAGGAGTTTGGATGTAGATTCTCCCTCAGAGGTTCTGGATAAGAAGAGCCCAGCCTTGTCAACGCCTTAATTTCTGCCTGTGAAGCTCTGAGTAGGGAAGCCCTTCAAACGCCCCCGGACTTCTGATCCACAGAACCGTGAGTGAAATTGTTATAATTTTTTTTATGACATTAAGTTTGTGGTAACTTATGCAGCAATAGGGAACTAACAGAGGTAAATAGAATATATTTTACACACTGAGATAATATTTACATAATATAAGATTACCCATTAAATGTAATTAAGTGTCCAGCTCGGTGGCATCGGTTCATTGACAATGCCTTGCAACTGCTAGTTCCAAGCCATGTTACCACCCCAAAAGGAAACTCGTACCCACTAAACAATCACTGCGTATTCTCCCCTTTCCCTGGCCCCCGGCAAACACTAATGTGCTTTCTGTCCCTATGGATTTACCTGTTTTGGATAATTCATACAAATGGAATCATGCTGTCACGGGAGAACTCAGGGACTTGGTTCTTCTTGCGGTTGCAGCAAAGGATTGCAGGTTAGCAAGCCTGCTAGCAGGCAAGGCAAGCAAAGTTTATTAGTGTTAAGTTGTAATGGGAGAGCAAAAGCAAGGGTGGCAAAAGCAAGGTGGCCAAAGGCTGGGTGGTCAGCACCTGGGTGGCTAAAGGACCCCCTGGCCAGAGGCTGGGTGGCCAGGGGCCCCCTCACCAGAGGCCAAGTGGCAGAAAGAGCCAAGAGAGTGAGTCCTTTCTTCTGTGGACTTACGTAGTGGGCGAGATGGGGGTAAGGGAGTTCCGTATTGTTGACGGGTAAAGGTGGTGTCAGCTTCCCCCAGGGGAGACGTGACTACCCAAACGTAGGTATATGTAGGAGTCTGTTAGCCCGTATACTTATCTTGCTCCAGACTCCGTTTGCTCATTATGCACACGTGACAGGGGGCAGGCAGTTAACCAAAGTTGTTTATGGGTTTTCTTTGGGCACTGTGGTCCCCCTCCCCTTCCAGGCTTTGGGATAAAAACACAGTCTCAAGGTTTTCCTTTTCCCCACTAGTGGAGATGATACATGCGGACTTTCAAGGACCCCCCTGGACTAGCATCGTTGACTTGTGTTGTTTGGGACGCCTGGCCGCCTGGCCAGAGCAGACTCAGAATTGCTGGCTCCACAGTTGAGCCTTTGCTTCTAGCCCCCTGTATTAAGTCCTTTGTTAGACGGCAATGCTGAGAGCCCTGCCTTTATCTCCTCCCTGGCTTCTCATTCTCCCACAACAGTACAATAGGCGACCTTTTGCGTCTGGCTTCTTTGATTTAGCATAACATTTTCAAGGTGCATTGACATTGTCGAACATATCAGTATTTCATTGCTCTTTATGATAGAAAAATATTCCATTTTATCTATATAATACATTTTGTTTATTCTTTCATCAATTGATGGACACTTGGGTTGTTTCTACTTTTTGACTATTGTGAATAGAGCAGCTATGAACATTTGTGTGCAAGTATTTCTTTGAATATCTGTTTTCAATTCTTTGTGGTATATAGGGGTGGGATTCCAGATCGCTTTATAATTCTATGTTTAAATATTTGAGGAACTTTCAAACTCTTTGCCGCAGACCCTGCACCTTATATCATTCCCACCAGCAATGTTCCAATTTCTCCACATCCTTACCAATACTTGTTATTTTCCTTTAAAAAAGAAATCCATTCTAAGGAGTGTAAAGTGGTGTCTCATTGTGGTTTTGATTTGTATTTACCTACTGACTAATGATGTTGAGCATCTTTTCATGCGTTTGTTAGCTATTTTCATATCTTCATTGGAGAAATGTCTATTTAAGTCCTTTGCCAACCTTTTAATTGGATCACATGGCAATTTGATTTTTAATTTTTTAAAAATGTTTTTTGACTTTAGAGACAGAGGAAGCAGGGAGAGAGAAAGAGAAACACCAATTGGTTGTTTCCCATATGCACCAGGGAATCAAACCTGCAACCTTTTGGTATATAGGACAATGCTCCAAACAACTGAACCACACTGGCCAGTGCTCAATTTTCAATGTTTTGAGGAATCTCTATACTGTTTTCCATATTGGCTGCACTAATTTATGATCCCACCAACAGTGTACAAGGGTTTTCTTTTCTCTACATCCTTGCCAGTATTTGTTATTTGTTGATTTATTGATGATAGCCATTCTGACAGGTATGAGGTGGTATATTATTGTTTTGATTTGCATTGCCCTGATGACTAGTGATGTTGAGCATCTTTTCATATGTCTATTGACCATCTGTATGTTCTCTTTGGAGAAATGTCTATTTAGCTCCTTCGCCCATTTTTTAACTGGATTGTTTGCCTTTTTGTTGTTATTTCTTTATTTTTCAGTATATATACCAAAAGATGTTCTCCTGGAAATATTGAAGTGCCTTTCAAATGTATTTATTAGAACTTCTATTCTTTATTCCTACAAGAATTGTAAGTATAAGTAGGCCTTTTTCTTAGATTATAGATGAGAACACTGAGGGATAGGGAATCTCCATCTTTCAGTCACACTTATTCCTTCACGAGTTTATTGAGAGTCTATTGTCCAAGCTGTTGTTCTTGGTGCCACAGGAAAATTGTAAGAAAGTCCCCAACCTCTAGACACTCATGATGAATCAGTTGTGAATCAGCCATCCAAGTCCTACTTTAGGCTTTGTCCCTGAAATGCCCATAAATTGATGGCCTTTGTCACAAACAGAAGCAAGTTGTATCCTGACAATAATCAGAGACTCAATGCTGTGCTAGTCAGTAAAAGGCCAATACAGGTCACATGTGACCCTCCTTCCC